TTATAGTTGCCAGGTCACTAATGTTTTGATAAATAATAAACCTAACCGCATTCATGTTACTTCATACATCGTCTACACGTATTGTTTAGATTGTATACGCATTGTATATTTTGCTTACGCATTACCTATATCGTAACGTAGACAATTTCCATAACCTGAAGGGTCCCCAAAGATGTAGCAGTTCAAAAGTTTTAGCAGAAACTCAAAAAATGCTTTCTTTAAGAAGTAGATTATGTATTATAGTTAGAATACTCGTATGTTGTGATCAGTATTTCTTCGGTGATATTTATTTCATGTATTTTTTTAAAACCATCGCCGTGACTACGGCTGGAGTACTTAATCTCATCATAGTTTCGCAACCATAAAACTACGATTTAAATTTGTTTCCCGATACTTGTTGCCATTTTAGTGGAGAAACGTGGAAAATAATTTGTAAAGTTGTCTACTTAGCATCACATAGTGATTCTACAGCTTCTGCGTAAAAACAGTCAGTACTACGCTGTTTTTCGCACTTTATCGATAGAAAACTCATCGTGATAAGATGATAAGGCTGATAACAGTATATTCTTGTGCAGTACTCAACCTTTGCTCCAGTCTTAGCAGAAGTTAAAAAAACTTGATGTGTGTCATAAACTTATCAAGGCTCAGAATGCTAAAATTGGAGAACTTGAAGTGGTCGTTTTGCGTTTAAGTGAGGTAGTTAATAGCAAAGATACTACCGATTCACTCTCGAATTAACTAGAGGAAAATAAATTATCGTATAGGGATGCTGTCAAAAAGGGATCAGGGCAGGGTCGTGTACTTTTTCTGAGGCTGATATGCTGCAGGTTGGTGTTCAGCTCACAGGAACTACAGCTAATGGGGATGTCATCCTCAAATGTCAATAATTGAATCTAGTTTGTTACAAAACTGTACCGTTACACTCCCAAAAAGCGTATTCCAAGAATCAAGGTAGACGACGTCAGTAAATATGAATTTAATACAGAAGCAGATGTACCCAACAGAAACTTGGTTGAGGCCTGAGATTTCAAATAATGACATTCATTTGCCAGGATATTAAATTTTGGAGTTGGGAATAATGACCATCTATTAGAACAGCTCTGGGTCAAAGTTAAAGTGAACAAACCATTTTTTACAATGAATATTGTCTACGTACCACCGAATATTAACGACAAATGGGTCATCAGTATTGGATAAAACTGAACAAAATGGATTCCCACTGCGAATAAACTTATATGTATGGGCGATTTGAAGATACATTTTCTTAATTCAAACAATGCTGCTTTTACTTTTTTGGGCAATGTTTTGAGTGACTATCGTTTGAATCAAGTAATTCGGGATGATACACTGGTTTAATTGATATAATTTTTGTCCGTGACGCTGACGCGGTTATGTTGTGTTTATCCACCTTCTATGTCAGACCATCATTTTGTTTAGGCTTACGCTTGCGTTGGCTGTCTGAATCTTCTGAATAACGTGAAATATAAACGCGTTAGAGATATACAAAATTTAGACACCAATCCTATCTGTATGAGCTCATCCACGTGGTGTTCGATACATGTGCGCCATATCTCAAAAAACGGTCTCCTCGGATAACATAAAGGTAACATAGGTTCATGACCCATCAACGCAATAAAGCTTTTTTGCGATGCAAAAACACTCTCAGAAAATGAAACTCATTGATAAGGAATGCGTTCGGAGTTTTGGAGTTTATGGTACTTTGACGATCACCTTACACTTCATGAATATGTAACTGAAACTGTTCAAGCACCAATAACAACAATGAAAACTTTTTATAATGTCAGAAATGTGTTGTCAAAGCTTACCAAAATTAAAGTAACTCCCTCAGCAAAGTTGAATATGCTGTCAGTGTGTATGGTCCTTGTTTGACTCAAACGAAAGCCCGACGAATACAAAGGGTGCAAAACTGTGGCCTAAGGTATATTCACTGTCTAAGTAGATTTGAAAGAGCATCCTCGTATATAAAAAGTATTCGTTCACTTACGAAGAGACAAAGATGGGCACCTGATCTCTTTGGTTAATTCGGTGTTACTAAAGAAACAACCAATTTACTTGCATGAAAACCTATACTATCAATTTCAGATCTGCGGGTCACACTTTGGATGTTCACAGACACAAAACAAAAGCCCGGTTTTCATATCTACATATAGAATCTAATTTGTGCAACAGGATTCCTTTCACTCTTAAAACCAAGTATCTCAGTGTTTTCAAACCTAGATTCAATCACCTTATACAAAGGGTACTATAAAAGTCTGTTGATTTGGTTGTTCATTCGTATTGACAGTGTAAAGTGCGAACTATGGCATCGTTGTCACGTAGTGAGATAATGGCAGTTACGCGTGGTTCAAGCAAAGACCAGTGCTTAGAAAAAATAATGCATGTATTACATAATGATTGTCCTCGTCGTACGACTATATTCAGGTGGTACAGAGAATTCCAAATAGACAATTTTACTCTGGAGGACGCTGAGGGGGAAAGAAGCCCGCGAACGTCAGTTACAGAGAAAAACATTACTGCTGTCAGGTAAATGCTTGACCAAGACCGAGAGTGACATAGCAACAGATAGAGGAGACCTCACACCTTCATGCACCAGCAATTCATTCAATTCTGCATGACCATTTACACGTAAGGAAACTTTTCTCTGGGTACCCCATACTCTGACGGAAGAGCAGAAGACTCGTCGGACGGCTTGGTGCCGAAAGATGCTGAAAATGTTTGATAAGGGGCAATCTCGGCATGTGAACAGCATCGTATCAGGTGACGAGACTTGGCTCTATTATTACGATGTGCCGACCAAGGCTCAAGACAAAGTTTGGGTCTTTGGTGATGAGGACACACCCGTAGCTGTCAGAAAATCACGATCTGTTAAGAAAAAATGATAGCTGTATTTTTCAGTTCGAGCGATTGGAGCGTGTGCCTGCCTAAGGTCATAGAATCTATAAAAAACCTGCGGCCAAAGTCAAGCATGGACATTTGGTAACTCCACCATGACAACGCTCCAGCCGAGTATTTAAATTCTATTGGACTGAAACTTATTGAGGACCTTCCTTACAGTCCAGATCTTGCTCCCTGCGACTTTGCACTGTTTCCGCATGTGAAAATAAATCTAAAAGGAAAACGGTTTTCTAGCGATGAGGACCTTCTGAGGGCTTGGGACAACGAGACAACAGAACTGGTTCAAGGACTGGTTCTGGCGAATGGAAAAGTGTGTTGAATGTGTTGGAAAAAACTTTGAACGAAGTCAATAAGTAAAGCTGTTTTGCAAAACTTTTATAATACCCTTTGTACTATCCACTGAATCTGTTTAATTTATTTGATTTTTGATGAATGTGTACATGCAAGTGTTTTGTTTGTGACTCCTATGTTTTGTTTATTTATACATATTTTAAACATTTTTTCAATATTTTTACTCCAATCTCACTCCATCTTATTTTACTGTAGGTATAAGTACTCTTTCTTTTTTTCTGTAATACTGTGATAAAATATGTACTTTTTTTGAATATTGGATATATGGAGCTTAAGTTGGAATTGAAGAACAGCTTTTGTTGATTGTCCGCCAAGTGCAAATAAACGCTTTTTATTATTATTTTTATTAATTTTGTAAATATCATTAGGTAAAGTGAGTATGCTTAGAAAATAAGTATGTGGTGTGTATACTTTATTATTAAGTGTATATTAGGATATAATGACTACTGAAATGTACGCAAATAAACATTTGAGATTCCACTGGCCTTTAAAATGCAGTATCGCTCATTCTTGAGAATTCTTGGTTAATTTTGTATGCGTGATTCAAAGTGCGAGATATTCTGTCAGCCTGCCTGCGACAAGTATTAATCACGCTTATTCAGAGTAATACAAAAGTCACGAAACGGAAAAGTATTGGGGAATATACTAGGGATATGGTAAAGGGAAAATGAATTAAAGTCAAAACGATTCTTTCGCCACCTTAGGCCCCAGAAGTGGATAGAGCGGAACAAATCCTTATTTGAAAGGATTTCAGGAATCCTTCTGAAGGTAAATTAAATATACGGACCTAAAGGCAGCTTTTGACATCTTGGACGAAAGTTATTTTAACTTTGATTATCCTGGTTAAGATAATCGTAGAGGACTCTCGTTTCTTAAAATCTCAATGATGTATTTGAAGAATAATAAGAAAGCCAGCAGCGGTACGGACTTTCCTGGTGACCTTGAAACTGACATTTACCCTCACCTTGAAGGTCAAATCAAGGTAAAAAAAATGTATTGCGTGGTACATGTACTTTTGACCACGGACATAGATACAACGAAAATCGTTACGTTCAGACCTGACCTTTCGTGAACCTACAAGACGATAGTCATGGTCAGTTCCAAGGTCACAAATCAATACCCAGAGCTAAATTGAAGCATCTGCTGTCTTTAAAACTAGTATTGTTTTCTCTTAAGAAAGATCTCTGATGTAATTAAATCGAGGGCTTTGTGATGACCTTAACCAAGACATTCAAGGTTAAAATAATGTTCACCTAAGGTCCTATCAGAACGTTCAATTTACCGCTCTATCCGTTTCTGGGGTTAAAATTATAGGATCCCATTTAAAAAATTGTCGTGCCTTTGATTTTTCCTTCAGGGTCATAGTCAATGTCGAATTAAAGGTCACCTCTGAGTAATCAGAGGAAAATCCTAAGCCTCCTATTATTTTACGTTTATCACACATCGTTCTGAATATCTTGCCGGTCCACAGTGTTGGATCACCCTGAAGTATCAAATTGAACGTGGCAAGAATGTCTGGTTGGCGATTTTTTGAATTTTTTTTGATTGGATCTCGCATTCTGAATTAACGATGTTCGGCCTCACGCATTTTGCAAGCGAACTTAATGAAACCGCTTAGAAATGCTTTCTGTCGATAGGTTGCATAGCGGCTGTAAGAAAATGTTTGCAAATGGGTCCCATCTGGCTGAAAAAAAATCATTGTACCCACTTTTCCTGATTTGTATATATTCCAGGCAATGAAAGAGTCCAGTGTTGGAACTGCGGTAAAGAGTACGTTACCTTCGCTGTTCTTCAGCGACATTTAACATACGAATGTGGAAGATATCCGACATTTTCTTGCCCATTTTGCCGAAAGATGTTCAAAAGAAGAGACAGTATGAAAAGGCATGTACTGTTGCTACACAAGCAACTTAAATGGAGCGGTAATTGAACAAGAAGTACCTGCCAAAAGCTGCCTGAATCTTCGGACAACAATTAGTTTAAAAAGTTATACAACATTGTAAGAATCTGTCATGGTGTTGCTGCTCTTTGAGATCGACTCGCTAGACTGATGCGAGCATTCTATCTCAGTCGTTTCGTTATACAGGTTGCCCAAAGATAAGAATAGAACATAAAAGCAATGCACAAGTTCCTATAAAAATCCCCTATGGGTCTTCCCTACGGAAATACAAGTCCCTCAGGGGCGGTACAGGAAATCGTTTTTCACTAATAATTTTTGAACAAGTCTGTATAATTCACCCAAATGCTTTAGCTGTAAAGATATATTGATCTTCAAAACATTAATCTAGATGAAGTGATTTGGGGATTTTCGGCTTTCTGAGTACGAGTTAGTATTTTCAAAATAACAGAACCATTATAATGTATCTACCTCCAAAATTGGTAAAACGATTTATTGAAAGTAGACTGTTATTCTCAGAAATTTTATTGAAATCTCAAAGAGCACATTCGATCTGCTAGAGCTTTCTGGAAATATTATTTTTTAATTGGCAAACTCTAACAAGAAGCGTATCTCTTGATTCTATGAAAATCCTTTTTATCCACTGTTTTGTGATAGTCACTATACGTATAAGAGGCAATAGGCATTGCATTGTATGTTTTTATTCAATGTTGGTTTACCTATTATTGTGGTCTGATGATTCACGATAAGAGTTTGGACTTTACTAGTTTTATTTGTATATACATGTAGCTTAAAATATAATATATTCTTTTTATAATTTTTTGTTTCCTTATTTTACCCTGGCATGCAGTCAAAACTGTAGTTATATTTCCAGAGTGAGTATTGTTGCTAACATGCGTATGAACATCTAAAAATTGTTAGTTTTGGAAGCATGTAATTCCCAATGCGGGTTGAGGTATGTTTAGAAACTATGTATATTAAATAAATAAAAGATATATTGGGGTTTCGTTAGGTTTTCTTACATGATGTGGTAAGGATTGGATATTCGTCAATTAGAGTAAGATCCCACTGCTGCCTGGCGTAACTTTTCTTTGAAAGACAAAACGTGAGGCGTTTATATGTACTTTGAACGCCTGCGTACCTAGTAGCTTAAGCATGTGTTCGATTTACTCGTATCAGGTGAGAAAGGTTAATAAAAATAGGACTACTTTCTAAAACATTTTTACATGAAAATATCCAGCTGTGCCAGACACTTCCCGTCAGACGTAAATTTCGCCAGATGCTTTGAAGCAGGGTATCCCGTTATAAATTCTCTCTAAGTTGTTTATATTAAAAAAGTTTCATATAAATCTTATAGGGTCTAATAAATGTTTTTCGCGCTACTTTTTTGGTATACGAGAGAAGTATTTTTTTAAACGGGACACTTCAATTGATACTTTATAACTATTGTATAAAGCATTTTTTTAAACGCTCATATAAGCATAATTTATGGCTGGCGGGCGGTGCTTAGTATTTGTAATAATGTTTTACAAAGTATGTACAAAAATATATCCCATTTTCCTATGAAGGTTTATTGCTGGTCCAATGGTCTCATACTAAATGCACAAAAACTTTCTTTTATTTAAAAACAGTAAAATAATATTTAGCATAACGGTTAATGGGGCTGGCTATAATGTAAGTCAAAATAACTATATTAAATGTCATGAACTCTTGTAAACCAAATTGACTTGGCTAAAAAAATATCAGCTCAATAATTCGTTATACGGCAGCATGTCAATATCCAACTTTTGAAACTCTATTTTGCCTAAGTGCAGTCCACATTAAGTTAATGGATTGATGTATGGGGCGGAAGCCACAGAATGAATAAATATTTCATGATTAGAACCATACTTTGAAAAATACAAGGCATCCTTGCAGAGACTTATTCATCCTACAGTATATTCAGATAAGAGATAGACCGGACATAAACAAGACCACGTGATCATCGAACGCTGTAACATTCGGCAGGGTCGTATTAAGAGTCACGCAGTACATATTTTAGATAGTAGATGCTGCTTTGCGTAACTTTGTAGTAAATTAGCACAATTGGGGTAAGAAATATATAATGATGTAAATATACATAAGGGTTTCAAAATTTTCGCTTCGATTTCCAGCTTCGGATGCCGCCTGATGTTTAGTGAAATACAGTCGAATATAATCTCAAAATGGCGTTTAAATTAGTCTAAATTAAAAATAATCGTATATCTCTTAAAATTGCTTTTAGAATATTGATTAGTATATTTTTTGATTTCTAGGTAAATATGTAGTAACCAAATTAAAACGTTCAAAACGTAAAAAAATGTGCATGGTTGAACATTGTCAGAAAGTAGATTCTTGAATAGGTTTTGCCAAAATGGGTCCAAAAATGTCAATAATTAATTAAAAAATACAGTAGCTTTATAATTACTTATAACTTACCGAATTTGATGAACGACATCTTTTATTGGAAAGATGAGCTTTCATCATCGCTACTGCCTGAAGCACCAACGTCAATAATGAATGGCTCGACTTGTTCCTCTAAAATATTGTCCAGTTCCCACATTCTCTTTTCAACTTTGTCTTTCACGTGCTTAATACAGTTTTCCCATTTTTGCGCTGTTGTTAATTCTAGTGCTTCTTTGAAAAGTCCTTTGAGGTCAAAAAATTTCAAAGTTGTATTGTGCTTAGCTAGATAATTTTTAACCTCTGCCCATATGAGCTCAATGGGATTGAGCTCGCAATGGTATGGAGGTAAACGGAGCACAGTTTTATTTTGACTTGCTGCCATTTCGTCAATGGCGTATTTTTGATATTCCGCCTTGTGATCCTTGACAATTCTTAATAATTTTACTTTCAGCATTGCTTCTTCAAAGTTGATATTTTTCGAGCGGAGCCAATTTTGAACATCAACTTTCCTTGAAGCCGTTGTTGGGACCTTCTCCATTCTTCGAGAATGATAAGGCGCATTATCCAACACAATTACTGCGTTTTCCTCTAAGTTCGGTAAAATTTTTGAAAACCACTGTTCAAACGATTCGCCATTCATTTCCTCGTGGTAATCTCTAGTTTTCTTAGACTCAAAGCACCACAGACCGTCAACAACAAATCCATCCTCACTGCCAATATGGCAGATAATGAGCCTTTTCCCTTTACCTGGAAATCGAAGTACTAACTGGTGTAGATTTATTTCAATAAGCGAACCTTTTTCAAATGTTTTCATCACATTCAGCGAAAAAACATTGAGACATGAGTATCAGATTGCTATAATTGGGATTATTTAGTCATATTGAAAGAAAGAATATTGAACGTCGTATGATTACTCAGCGCTTCACAATTTAATTTAAAGTTATAAACCTTTAAAAAATGAATGATCAGGAACCTGAAATACGCGCAAATATTAATATCAACAAATTATAACTTTATAAAGCTTAAAGTATGAATTAAAATGATTAGAAATATTAGGAACGGTACACAATATAAAACTTAGTAACTTTTTTTAAGTTTATAATATTCGACATATTTTAAGATTATATTAAAAAATTATTGAAATATCGAAAACACATAAAAACATGGATTAAAAAAGTTCTAACAAATGAAAATGACAATAAAACATCCACGCATTTTATCGAAAGTTATAAAAGTTTTGTTACTTGTAATATGTTTTATCTGCCCCCTGGAATTAATGTTTAGAACCTTGTTCCCAAGGGTTTGAAAAACATCCGATTGTTGTCTATTACTCGTATTTACCTGCTGGATTTTTTAATCCGGTGGACAGTCAATCTAGAAAGGCCCTCCTGGATGAAGTTACAGAATCATCAACCCATACTTTACTTGTAGTGTGTCCTGCGTTTACCCACGTTTCATCAAGGTAATAAATCTTCCTGTTTTGATTTCTATATTTCCCAATTTTTGTTAAATAATCCCTCCTCCATAGCACAATTTCTTCTCTATCCAGTAGTAAACTATTACGACCCCGTTTTTTCCATTTGAAATTTAAATGCTTCAGTAACGCATGGAAAGTTGATCGTTTGAAATTTGGCAACGTTGTATCTCCATTTACCTCCTGCAGTACTTTATCTATAGTAGGTATTTCATTCCTAAAGAAGAATTCATGCACTTTCCTCCTAATCGCATGCTTATCAGCTTCATCCAATGATTTAACAATACTTTTGCGATGTTTACTGGTCATTGGCTCAGAAAAGGTGTGATTTTTTTTGTATTGTCTTAACACATTAAACACTGATGCGCGACACACCCCAACTTTGTGAGAAACCTTCACAACAATTTCTTTGATGGTTGATGCCTCGTTCTCCTCGCGCTCGATCTTATATATATTCAAAATGACCTCTTTCATTTCTGCACTCAGGTGTCTTTTTTTAGAGCGTTTCCTAGGTGGACTACAGGAGTTTACAACTTCATCGGCAGTATCTGTACTACTGGGCATTTTGCGCAAGCAGTTGATAACAATAACAATCAATAACACGGTATAACAATAACAACGACAAACTCAACAACTTAATAAGATAACAAACGAAAACGTCCAAAGGAATATCAAATTGCAATGATGCACACGACATACGTAACACGTCTGAACCTGAATGTGACTCTGCCTTGATACGACTGCTCTGCCGCTGGGCATAGGCATTTAATTGCGAATTGACCAATGAGGGCTCCTGTTTTACGTCGAGACGGCGGCGTTAGCGTGAAAATCACCCGAACCTTTTGTTTACATCCGGTCTATCTCTTATCTGAATATACTGTAGAAGTGGCATCGTTAGTACCGCTACCTATAACCCCCGCACTGATTTGAATACAACGCTGTCACAAATATCAGTGAACAGTATTTCAAGTACCAAGTACCAATTAGTTGGAATTTTTCACCACAAGAACAAATACTAAGTACATTCTCTTCTAAAGGTATTTCAAGTTTCAAGTACAATCAAGTATCTAATTTTATTTTCAAATAAGGTCATTCCTTAAACCTTGTCAGTGCATGAAGTACTTGTATGAGTATTTCAAAAACTAGAAAACTATGTCAAATACTTTCCTAGCATCTAAAATACCTAGAGAAGTAGTTAAAAGCCTCTTCACTTTAAGTCTGCTTGAAGAAAGTCTATAAGGTTGCAGGGAGGCTTCCGCCTTGTTTTTCATCAAAACATCTATGGGACTTGCTCGGATATTCCTACCATATTTGCAGCAAATTTGCAACAAAAATGATAGTGAAGCCCTTCAGCAGCCAGAGTATCAAAGTTTACAATCTCTCCACAAAGACTGGAGGTGGAATGTCTCTGGACTTTGGTCTATTAACGATTGATTTCAGTATATGTAACTGTCCAAAATGTTCGTCTGAGAGTGAATGCCTGCATGGTGCATTCAGTATTTCAGCGTCTCTCCATAGGGGAGGCATGTATTGTATTTTAAGAAAATTTTCTTTATGAATGGATATAGGCTTATAGTGATTCTAAATCGCCTAAACAGCCTGTTCACGACAACTGAAAAGTGGAAATGGGAGGGGGGGCGGTCAGGCATCATAACAATACTCCAAAGGCAGACAATTAATTGAAGAGCCGGGGGGGACGGGGAAGTTCATTCACCTCTGAGAGAATACCTTTGATCAACTGGAAAGCGGGGGAGGGGTACCGACGATTGAACATTGACGAGGGAGGATGACGGCGGGATTACTGAATCTGAGAGTAAATTCCCCTGCGACAAGGATTTTCTGCAAATATTTTTCCTTTCTCAGTGATCTTTTTGTGTGTTAAAATTGTAATGATGGGATGGCATTGATATGCTCGGAACATGATATTTGACCATAAACACTATTGTGCCTAGTGCAAAAAACTTCCGTTTGTCCTCATTTTATCAATCCATACCATACACATACATGTTGTCGCGTCATTTATGAATCTTGATGTATCAGCGAAAATTATTTACAGTAATGCTAAAAATCGATAGAAATCGCCAATTTTCTAAATACTATGTGACACTAAGGTAGCCAATTACCATTTTGGTATTCATTTGAAACCTTCAAATTGCCACTTGATGACTATTTGAAGTACTGTATGGGTATCTGAAACACTGTTTGAGTATTTGAATTACTTTACTGAAGTATTTCAAATAAAAAAGTAACTTACTTGAAGTACCTACTGATAGTTCTGATTCAGTACCGTCACTGTAAGTCACATTCTTGCTTCAGTGGCGAAGCGTCCTTCTATCATGCCTATAAGATTGTTCAACCACCTACGATATCCATAAAAGGCATCAATACATCTCAGCATTCAAGCACAAAGTACGCGAATTACTGTTAGCATATCAATTTCACTCTGTAGATGAGTATCTGTCACATCCATTTTTATTTATATTTTTCAACATGTTTTTTTATATCTTTTTAAGGTGTTTGATGTGTTTTTATTTCCCACGCCATACTTTCAAGGAAGTATTGTAATCGCGAGAAATTTCGAAAATGAGATATTTTTTGAATGTCATATGATATATACACCACGAAAAGGGTCTAGCTTGTGAATCATGCTACTGGACGCCATTTTTTTTATTAATGTATCTGTAATTGTGTGAATCTGACCTAACTTTTCTTGACTACCTCCGATACGTTTTATACAGTCAAGTCTAATAGAAATAAATATTTTTATTGTTATCACTTACCTTTCTCACCTGGCATTGATAAATATGCCATTTATGCAACTTAGCAAGTATGCAGGGGTTTAAAGTACATATAAACGTTACTCAATGCCCCATAGATAATGAACTATATCTGGCAGTCCTGGATCTTGGATTACATACTATATTTTTCCCGGCAAAACCGAGTAGCTAAATACACTTATATACCCCTAAATACTCTTATTTTTTAGTAATTTTGAACTTAATAATTTGTCGACGATGTGGGAAGGAATACGCATCAACCGCAGCTATGAGACGACATTTGAACGAATGTGGCAAGGTACCCTCAGTTGCTTGTCCAGTCTGCCGCAGAATGTTCAAACGAAGAGATAACATGAAAAGGCACTGTTTCATAGTTCACAATATATTCTTGGATCATCAAAGAAAAAATGATGTGCTGTAAATTAGACAGAATTTTGATTCATTACATACTACCTAAATGTACAAACATTAAAGTTATTTTCTACTTTATATTGTAATTTGCATTCGAAATTAAATATCGAATTCTCAAGTTGGTCTTCTAAGATAATTACCCTTTAAGAGATAACATTACTGTAATGACCTAAAAAAGGTGATAACGAAAGATAATGAATGCTCATATTGGAGGAAGTGAACATATAGTTAAGTGACAAAAAAAATTGTCATAAAATATTTAAAAATAACGACACTACACTGCTGCAAATTCAGATCTAAAAAAAGAAAAAATAATTATGAGACATGATTATATCTAAAAAAATACATAAAGGGATTTTAAAAATATCGATTTTTGTGTGGTTGGCGAGTATTTCACTTGAAACGTTCAGTTTTAGACGAAAAATATAATCATTTGTTAATAAATAATGATTGAATCCACTTATTTAGAAACCCTCACATATTTTTCTTTGAAATATTATTCAGAGGAATTATGCTGCTAACCGTTTTGAAAAGTCGCGTTTCGTGAAAAATGCTGCGGCGTCACTATTTTTGAATATGCTTTCATGATAATTTCCTTCCGGGAAATAAAACAGCGGGAGGCACCATCAGTCGCTAGAATCGACCACTGCGAAACACATCCTAATATATATGCTATATATTGTGACGATAACAAATAGTACTTTTGGCGCCATCTGCTGGGAGAGTCTCCTACTCGCCGGAGCTTCATGGCAGTGACTCGCCTTCTAGATTGACACGAAGTGACCTCGATATTTTGGAAGGCCGCTATGTGGCTCCCGATTCTTCTCGACTCAACGATGCGGACTATATAACTCGGCGACCGGGAGATGGAACCAGAATACAGAGTACACCAGAGTAGAGCAGAGTGGAATATAGAAGAGTCAGTGGCGCGACATAAGAATTAGACATAAATAGTGGTGTACATAAATGTTCTATCTAATCAAGTAAAATAAATTAGTGCATTTCTTTTTGTGTCCGTCACCCAAAAGAACCCAAAAAACGCTTCAATATTCTTTTCTGCTGCCTTATTAAAAATCAATTGCTATCGATAAAAGATTAAGATAAAAAAAGGAACAACTTTATTTCATTTTGGAGAAACTTATCAGTCATTTATACATGAACAAAAATGTGGACTATACAGAATACTTTTTTCAAAAGTGTCATATTCATCTAGTAGAGCACCGTAAAATATAAAAATATCAAAATATTGGAACCACTGAATGGATTTTCGTAAAACCTTTTCAATCGCATTGTTCAATAAATTCTCTAAACTAATGCTACTAAAAAGCCTACCTATCATAATTTAAGCGACATTCAACTTATTGTATTAGGAGAGTAATATTTCAACATGGCATTATTTAAACAATATTCATGTGTTTTCATATTGCTTACCATCGATTCACAGAGCTTCATCCCAATCACTCAAGTAATTTAAGAGAAATTAATAATATTAGTATTAGAAGAACTGAACATCAAGACCCAATATCTCACTAATGGAGCCTTAAAATACATGAGTACATTGTTCAGTTTGGTGAGGTCCCTCAGATGATATATTATAAACCTGAATAACCTTATACATAAAAGCGAAACTACAAAGTTAAAAACAACTGAAAAACAAAAACGCCCGAAATTAATGGGGAAAATTTTTAATGTACAGTATTTCAAACGCATTCCGCTGAAATCCTCAAAAATCCATGCAGTGGAACCGGGTTACAATGCTTAAATATAAGGTTATCGCATTAATCGCCTTTTATGGTTTTTCCATTGCATGCTCTGAAGCCATCTGAATACGACATGTCGTTGGTTTGGCACTTGTACCCTAATTTTATAACAAACTATCTTTTCCAAAGCTTTTTTTAGTGGGCATGTGTAATACCTTATAAGCTTGTTTTTTAGCAGCAAAACCATTTTCGACATGTCCAAACTGCGGCCGGACGTACAAAAGTAAATCGGCGTTTAGTCGCCACATTAACCATGTATGCGGAAAATCTGAGAGCCATGCATGCCCAGTTTGCTCCAGGACTTACAAGCGCAAAGACATCATGAGGACTCACGTAAAGGAAGTGCATCCAGATTACTATGCTCAACAAAAGAGTATGCTAATTGAACAAAGTTTGTCTTACTTCAATGATCATGTACTATGATGAATATTGAAATTCTATTGTTTACCAATTATCTGTCTTTTATTTTAATATTTGTACCCGATTCCTTGGAGATTCTTAGCCAAGCTCCTCATCAGAGGAAAACCAATGAAAATACATTTGTGTTAAGGTGAAAATATTTGATTCAACCTATGCTATTAAATTAAATGGCGAATGTGCTTGCCCAACCACCATTATGAATTTGATTATTATCTTTTGATCAACATGTTTACATAGAATATGAATTAGTTATCAATCAATTGTAACATAATAGAAGTAATAAATAATTATGATTTTGCGATTAAATTTCGAAGTAAAACATTTGCTGTATCGCTGGAATAAGCTGATGACTCTCATCCAGCCATAAGGGCGCTTCCGAAGAGGTGGTTTACGTCTTCTTGATATATCTCGTCCTATGCCAACTCAAGTTGAGATACGACTGAGGTACGCCCTATCCTTCTGGGGTTTGTCAACAAACGTCCAGAAAGTATTTTTCTTTTATTAACAAAATAGGTTTTTAAATACCAGACAAGCTGATCTAAAATGCTGCCCAGTTGCCATCTTAAAATTTCCATCTGGCACTTCTACGCTGAGATTCATGAATCAATTTTATTATCCCGAATTTCAGCTGGCCAACTTGACAAGTTCAAAGAATAAGTAGGGGAGGCCACAAACTATTTATATAGCAACTAAATCAGTTTTTCGATCCTGAAGTATATAAATATTAAGTTGATCGCATTTATGAAATGTTTGCATTTACATGTTTAATAACATATCGTCGACGATACAAGAAAAAACTCCGTTTCTAAGAATTTTAGAGGAAAAAGTAAAAACAAATTGAGTTAAGCATTATATTGTTTTAGGAATAACAGCATTATTGTGATAAATGCAATATTATAGTTTAGTTGAGCAGTTTCAGAATGATACTTAAAAAAAGCTGAAATTTTCAAAACAAAAATGGAAAATAGGTAAAATTAGGAATTACGTGCTTTTCCTATTTTAAACGTCATATAAAGTGGAGTTACGTGGTTTTCTTATGTTAACAACGATTTGTGTTTTATATATTCATCAATATTTTATTTATTTTGGTACTTGGTTATTCTTTAGAATCTCAAAGTTCGAAATTTTTGCATTTTTAATCCAAAATTCAAATACTTACGAATATTTGAGTTACTATCTTTTTATGAGCGCTAGGTCACTACGCTTTCTTCGTTAAATCTACAGTAAAACACGCTGAGACATAAAGGATCTATAAAATGAATGTTGCATCACTGTGCAATAGAAATAAAATTTAAAGGGCAAATGGATACAAAATGATAATGAGATTTGAAGTTTTGTTTTTACTGTGAACGTAATTTTGCAATACTTTCATTTCTATATATTTTTTGTGATCCAGATTATTATATAGGTATTTCAAGTAGGGATATTGTGGCAATGCTCATACAAAAAAATTAGTCAAATACTTGAAAGTGAGTGAATTTTGAACAAAATTATCAATACTGCGAATTTTAAGCTTTTAAAAAATAATGCAGGATTAAAATAAAAAGAAAATGTGAATTAAATATTAAGATACATATGATCAAAAACATCCAAATGCCAACTTCCATAGATACGATCAACTTGTTAGTTATTTTCAGGACCGAAAAATCCGCCTATGTACCATGACCTATTCCTGCTCAATACTACCTTGGTATGTATATCCGTATTCCAATTTCCGTTTTTAGATACAAGTCATTTTATTATTGTGTTCAATCCCAAACCGTTTGTTTTCTTTTCCCCTAGCGGTATTAACAAAAGCAAGTAATAACAATGTTTGATATGTACGCAACTTAACACTGCTTCACGCCATCAAAAGTTGTTAATACTTAAAAAAAATTTTACTGACCTTTTTTTCTTTTCAGAACATATTTACGCATGCAATAACTGCGGCAAAAGATACAAATATAAAAGAAACTTGAATGCACACCAGCGTCATGAGTGCGGAAAGGAACCTCAACTGTTCTGCTATGTAGATGGTTGCAACTACGTGGCTAAATTGAAGGCACATTTGAAAAGTCATATCAGGGCTAGGCATAAGCTCTTTGTTAACTTTTATGGTGAATCTAAACCAGGTGCATAGTATGCACGAAGTATGTTGTCAATACAGAAATACGCTGAGGCTGTAGAACTTAATTGTAAAATCCATAAAAGGAGAGAGTACAGTTCGCATTTGTTAGATGAGGTACTAGGTGATTTGAAAACTTTCTAAACTCTCATACAAGAGGCGCTGGCATCAGAAAATTTTGCCTTGCTAGACTACTAGACAGTCCCTATGAACACATGCGCTGCTTAGATTTATTTTTCATGCGTCTTCCATTCAGGTAATACATCTGCTCAGAGAAGTGCTCTAATAATAGCGAAAATCGGTCAATTACCTCCACCACCATCACTTTATAGCTTTCATTTGTTTTCGTACTTTAAAGCTTAGTCCACATTTGTATCAAGTAATCGTATCCGTATCAGGCGTATCGTATCGAGTATGCGTATCTTAAGTGTGGACGCCAATTTTGACCATATCGTATCTTTTATCGCGTGAGCCACAGTTCGGCCAAAAACCACGTCCACACTTTATGATACTGTATCTTGATCTCGTATCGTCTCGCCAATCCTCGTATCGATCTTTCATTTCTCGTTGTGATTCATTTAGTCAAGAACTCCCATACAGTGCAGACATGGACCCAGAACTCATCTCCGTTATAGCTCAGAGTGTGGCTACGACATGTGCTTGTTTTATTGTGATGAATAAACACAGGATACAAAAAAGACAGAGCCGTCGTTGGTGGCAGCTAGAATTGTTTAGGAACCGAAACCTACATGGCGGAAGAGCATTGCTGCTTATCCCAACTCATGATTACAAAAGCATCCACGTACAGGAACTATCGGAGGAGTAGCGTGCCTTGCGCTCACACGAAATCTACACATGTGACTGCAAACTTGTCTAATCCTGTATTATTGTGTATCGCTTTTGATGATCGGGGAAAAACCGCCTCGAGATGGATCGCGGCGTATCACGTATCAAATGACATAGCCGTATCATGACACGGTATCAAAATGCGTCCCCACTAGATCATTCTGCCGATCACGATATGCGTATCCAATACGACACGTATCAGATACGCGGTTAATAGCGATCGGGGTGTATCATGATACGAAGTGTATCATGATCGCGATCATTTTGCGTCCACACTAGCGAACATGATACGCGTCGATGCCACGCGACGGAGATCTGATACGCGAAAATGATCAAGTGTGGATCCACCCTAAGAAGTCCTTTTAGAGAATTACTTCAGGGAAAATATAAATCAAATAGAAAGTAGCTGAAAAAAATGTAACGAACCTAATGGAGATTTTATTGAAGAATAAACAACCAACTAATATTTTCTCATCTAGAGTCCAGAAACGTTTCAAATCACCTGGTGTATGAGAGATATTTGTTCTTTTTAATGACAATCCACCGGTTGTCCATATCATTGTAAAAATACCCGTTTTTAGTTTGCCCATAAGTTTTATATATTCCTGAAAGTAGAATTTTTCCAGCTTCAATGCAACTGTAACGTAACGTTTTTATAGTTACTTCTTCCTTTCCGTTTCCTTTTTGCTATAAATTTAGGTATTTCTTGCAAAGCGATCGAACAGTACTCAGTACAGTTGTTTATACAAGTTTAATAAAAACTTTTTTTCAAACCGAAGCAGCCGCGCAGGCAGAAGCCTAAATGCCAGGTCACCGCAGCTGCTATGAAGATCCCAAAAAAGCTCTGTTAATCTGATCTTTGAACTACCTAAGGTTAGTAGAACTGAAAATGCCTCTTCCTGCAGACTGTGCCACAATCTCGACACCCTCAGGATAAAGAAGTTGTCGTATCGGCTAGTTCTGAATATACGAAGTTCGACATGGTTAGGATGGAATGCCGAAGTCGGGCAGGTCTGACTGACAGGCACATCGTCTGGCGGCATCATAGAATAAAGCTCTGAGGAACAAAGCCCGATGGTGGAGCGGTAGAAAGAGAGCTAAGTCGTCTACGGCCCGTCGAATCCCAGGACTGTTTGTTAGAGAATAGTCATCGGTCAATCAGACAGCATCGAGCATGAATCATGTAGTCGCGGCGGCAGCACCCCAAACGTGTGAGCAATACTCGAAACTAGCCTAGCTTTTTCCCAGCAGCTGCCGCTATTGTCGAGATGTGTTCGTGCCAGATCAAGTCCTCTGTGATCTGAACTCCAACCAGCCGCAATTAATTGAAACCGGATGAGCGCTAGGACGCTTTTTGTTCAGCAACGTACAGTGATGTGTTTTGGAAGCATTAAACTGTATAAGATTGTTGCGTCTCCAATCAGTGATTACCTCCAAGTCGCTGCTAGCCTTCTTTTTTTTCAGCACACCGGCAGAGATCAGCTTGTCGCTCTGAATGCCTGCAAACTGTGGATTCAATCGATCGCATAGAAAAGCAGGTCATTAATGTTTAAGAGCAACAGTGTCGGGGTCAAGACCGATCCCTGGTGAACACCCTCGTTGACGTTGTGGATGAAGAGGAGAACTCGTCAATTACGACGGATATCTTGCGGCCTGAGAGAAAGTCAGCCACCCTTCTGCAAAGGTTCTCTGGGAAGCCATAGGATGAAAGTTTGCATAAGAGTGCAGCGTGCCACAGCTCATCGAACGCTTTCGTGATATCAAGAGCAACGACATTAGTATAATCTATGACATTAGCCTCACCATAAGACTGGATGAGTTTGCTCCACAATTGCGTGACGTAAGCAAGGAGGTCCCCTGTGGATCGCTGGTGCCGGAAACTACAATGCCTGACGCTAGTCAAGCCGTGACGCTCGGGGTAGCCCAGAAGCTCGCGATTTATGCTCCTCTCCATCATCTTACTTATCACAGAAAGAAGAGCTACAGGCCTGTAATTGTAAGGGTCGCTCCTGGGCTCCTTTTTGATGAAAGAAGAAACGAGTTACATCTCTAAGATGCTATATAGTGAAACTTATACAAGTTGTACCCTACTATTCGTTCGCACGATGAAAATTTCCCCAAATAAGATCACCTACAATCTATAAGACTTCTAGTTATATTATTTACTTATCGGTCCCGTAAAAAAGCTCTTTGGGTCTCCGAAAACTGGAGATTACTATTAGTTCATCGCATGGTCCATCAGCAGTCGATAACAATTCTTTCTTAAAAAGTATTTTTAATTGGTACTATTCGTTTTGTTATCCTTAGAAAAATTTTGTGAAAATTGAAATTTTATATTTATACTTTAAAAAACACGTTATAATGTTTTCACAACTTGTTTATTATGTAGCATCATATTCATTTATATCGATGATTTTGTTGTTTGCACCATTTGCTCACAATAAATATATAACTATGTTCAAAGATGCTTAATTTGTTAGTACAATTATTTCAAGCGACGTATAACATTATGCAATCAGCCTACGAAAAATAATAGGATTATTTGCAAAAATTATTACCTGCAGAAAAATTGTCAGTTGCTGTAGGGCATTTAAGGTTTAAAGAGATAAGCTCTGAGTAGGCTTTCTTTCACTTCAATCACTGAAACAAAACCACTTATGAGAATCTGGGCTACATTTTTTTTTTCGCATCTCCAAAATGATTGGTTGATGGGAGAGAAATGTTTAGAAAAAGTTGTGATGGATTCTATTTATACCGAAACAAGTAGAGCCACATCTGGGTTTGGCTGTTTGAAAAAATCGCCACAATTTCCGGTTTAAGGTAGTCAAAGTCGTTTACAGATTGTTGTCAATATAATTAAAGGGCAGGTCCAGCACATGGAAACATGAAGAAAATTCGTCGTAGATAGGAAAATTCCTCGTTTCCTTGTACAAGACGTTTGAACTTGTGTTCAGCGAAAAATTGTACTCTAATGGTTTTTGTGAAAAAATTGCCGTCTTCTCAAAGCCATTATGTTTGCTAGAAAAAGTGCCAGCTCGATTAGTATTTTTTAATAAAGATAAACACAGTGATAACTTGCAATGGTAATTTTCATTTAGAAAAAATGGTTTCAAGTGGGTTGACTGTGTATTTCACACGCAGTTCTGAACAAACGAACGTTCAATATACGTCGTGTATATTTGTGGAAAGTTTTGTATGCTCTGGTATGTTTAAAGAAGACATTGTTGGTTTAGAAAAAAGTAAATTATGGACTTTGAGTAGACACGTATCAGAGTCAACTTTCTTAGGTTCTGGTCTATTGACCGGCTATGGAAACCCTTACAGCTGGTCATGTAGTAGAATGAATATAACAGAAGAAAGAACATTGTCATTTTTTTTTCAATAATCTAAGACAACTTTCGCATCCCCTGGTATTATTTCTATTTGACGGCTATAAGAACCCTTTCTTATAACGAGTTGTCGAAAAATTTCATGAAAATCCGAATAGTACTTTCCAAGTTATACCATTTCAATAATCTAAGACAACTTTCGCATCCCCTGGTATTATTTCTATTTGACGGCTATAAGAACCCTTTCTTATAACGAATTGTCGAAAAATTTCATGAAAATCCGAATAGTACTTTCCAAGTTATACCATAGATGGCACAAGGATTAGCGGACAGACCGACGAATATCTCCAAGAGGCAGTTTTTAATAATTAGAATCAAACTGGCGGATACTATCCTTTTATGAAAGTCCGTTGTGTACTGTTTTTTCAGACGCTACAGATGTGAGTATTTTATAAAAAGCTGTTATAAGTACAACTCGTAAAATTTTACATTTATTTAAACATTTGTGCGTACTAAAACTCATCTCAATATTTCAATCTGTTTGAAATATGAGCTTTTTTCAAATTTTTTGCGGGAATAATCTGTCCTCCAATTCCTCTAACAACATTCTGTAACGCCCTGTATATTCGGTAATTTACTCATTATAGCATTTGTAGGAAATTACATATACAGAAGACCAAGAGGACAAGGAAATTACGAGTGCCTTTGCGGAAAAAAATATTATCAACGCAAAAATTTAGTCCGACACCAACAGTTAGTTTGCGAATGTTTTGACTATTATCGGCGATTGAGGTTGAGAAGATATCAACAATAGACAAACAACAAGGATTCCTTCAGATGTATTTTAATTTTAAGACATTTTTTACATTTTGTATTGCAATAATTATTTTCTAATAAACATATCATGTTATTCCAAAGTTTTATATTACACAGCCTTCTGAAAGTTCTTGATTTTCAAAATCAGAAAATCAGGCCACTGGGTTTACCAAGTTTTTAATGGTAAAATTGCTAACTTGGTTGAAAATGTTTCATCATTTAACGTTTCTAAGATAAATATATTTTTAGGGTATTTGGAGTGTCAAAAGTGCCATAAGAAGTTTAAAAATAAGAAATCTCTCTCGTCTCATCGTTCCTCAGATTGTCTCAAACCAAAAGCAAAATGTTGTAAATTTTGTAATTACAAGACTAACAGAACAAGCAATATGAAAAGACATATGGGATGTGCACATCAGAACAACAAAAATACGAAATAAGTGTACCAGTCATGAAATAAGGTGAATGGAGAATGGGAGGCCACTATAACAAATAAACATTATTCTATTTACTGGATAAATTAAATAAATTATTAAGTAACACTTTGTCTTATCGCGTAACTTCCCCTTTCCCTCAAGTATCTGGTAGGACCTTAAGATTTGCATATCTAGCATGATTTTGTGTACAGTTATGGGGATTTTTGGAAAATACCTTCCCCTATGAGAAAATATACCCCCGTTCTTCAAAAAGATTTGGTGGCAGAAACATTTCCACAAAAACGTATTTCTTGTCAATAAATAATCGGTCCCCTGAAAAAAACTTCAGTCGCCGCCTATGAGAGATCGTTATTTATTGAGTTTAATTAAGTTTTATTCAACTCTTCCGAACGGCGTTACAAGGAACAAGCCTCCATGCATGGCCGTGGGAATAAAGCTATTGCTTAATTTAAAACTAACGTTGTTTTCAAAAGATCTACTTGTATTACTTTCTACATAAAAAAGGCCTTTCACTAAAATATCGTCATAGAAAATACTCAATGTACGTTACTTGAACATCTGATAAGGCTAAGAATGTGTTAACGAAAATGTTTTTAGAATAATTTTAATCAATAGGCGCCATTGAGTATCACGTAAGCAGATTTTTTACAATTATTGACCCCTTCTTCTCAGCAAAAGTAAGCAAATCCCTTACCCGCCTCCCATGAGTACGTAAACAATTTGGAAAATTTTACAATGTACAAGCAGGTGTTGGCTTTAAAGCACATTTCCTGATTAATTGTGACGCCGCGTTTGTCCAAATGAGACCCAAGATAGTCATGAGGCAGTATCAAATCAGCCAGTTCCCGACTAAGACTAGCCAATCAATTGAAATAAGACAGCTGAAAGTGCCATCTATTTCCAAAATCGACCACTACGCTAGTGCAAGAGCAGCTCTTGGAACTATATTAAAGTTCGTATTTGCAGCCCGGATCACCACTGTGACCGTGAGATGCCGCCGATTGTGGTAGTATAGTATATTCGGTCTACTCGCCATTTAACAAACTAAAAAGTAATATAGCTTTGGTCCATGATCTGATTGAAGTTATATCTGTTTGTTCACTAAAATCGACTTCAGCTATTCTTTATATACTTGAATGATCACGAAGGTGTTATGGCTAAATATACCTAAGTACCTTAGGGCTACAGGGCGATATAGGAAAGCTAGAAGACACACAGCGTCTACCACTACAACTCCATACTGCCTGATGCAGAACAGTGCTTCCACACTCATCATTTATAGAAAAATACCTATTCATTCTCTTAATTTCATTAATTTCTTCTATTTTATGTATTCGTGCTCAAGACCAGTGGCATAATTCATATTCCTGCGATTGCTATGTTTAGGAATCATGTAGACTTCTATGAACTTCACTTCATCTTGATCAAAATTTTATAACGTGCTTGTCCGACCAGAAAACGGTATATTTACTTATACTAGGTGTTTCAAATTCGTCCCTCGCCATTGCGATCTCGAAAACGGTATGAGTTAGGACATCGATCAAATGTTTACCCCGATTGAGTATTTAGGTACCTCAAATGTTTCGATTTGTTGATAGAATTTACGATAACGGATTTTCCCAAAATCGTGTTTATTGTTTCTTTACAAGTTACACATTAACATTGAAGGTCCAGAAACAAATATACATCGCAGCAAAATTAGGCACAGGGTAATATCGTAGCGCAATAGCGGTCGGTCTTTCTGGTCGCTGGCTAAGAAGATTGAAAGAAACTCCTCACAAAGTAGCCTTCCACCGTTTATGTGCCAGGATGGAACGATTGTAACCGACTCAAAGGCTAAGGCGGAAGTGCTTCCCAAGGCGTTTAGTGCACTACCAGAAAACAGGAAATTTGCCCGTGTCCAACCCATCCCAAAAAAAGGATCTAAGACCGACCCTTTCAACTACAAGCCTATAGCTCTCCTGTCTTTTGCAAACTTCCATTTTATGGCCTCCCAGTGAGCTTTGCAGATGGGTGGCTGACTTTCTCTCGGACCGCAAGATGTCGGTCGTATTTGACGGGTTCTCCTCTTCATCCCACAACGTCCGCGCGGGTGTTCCCCAGGGATTGGTCTTGGCTAGGACATTGTTCCTCTTACATATTGTCACGATTGTGACTTGGGCGTTAGTTGCTCGGGGCTGAGCAGTCTTGCGAGGCATTACAAAAGAACAAATAGTCGCAAGTACTAACAGAGAAGCTCTCTAACGAGTAATATAAACATATGCTAAAAGGTACTTACTCTAGTTACACAGTAGAGCTCAGCTGGACTTCTCGCAGGGACGATTGGCAAGGGTTGTCCCCCACAGCGGGAATATCCTCACATGTCAGCCCAACTAGTTTTTATTATCATATCCACACTTCGGCTGATCAGGATACACCATTGCTGATCATGCATACTCATCAGCGGATGCGGTTTAGGATATCCAATTCACAGCTTTGCAGATGATAGCTCTACATGCAGGAATTCATAGTGACAAGACGATCTCTGCCGGTGAGGTGGATATAAAAAGACTAGCAGCTGCTTCCTCTTTGACAAGAGACCAGAAAGTTGTCACTGCTTGGTAATACAACAATATTGTACGGTTTTATGCTTCCAAAACACAGTACTGTACCTTGACGAACAAAAAGCGTCCTAGCGCCCATTCATTTTCGATGCCAGAGAGCCGTTCATTTTAGCTGGTCGGAGTCCAGACCACCTAGAACTTGATCTGGCATGAGCACATTTCGGCGATAGCGGCAGCTGCTAAGACAAAGCTAGGCTATTTGTTTAGAGCTAAGAAGTACCGCATGACCTTCTCATGACCTATACAAGGCCCAGATAAGGCCTAGCCTCGAGTATTGCTCATATGTTTGGGGTGCTGCCGCCCCGATGACATTATCCATGCTCGATGCTGTCCGACTGATTGATAATCTAGCTCACTATTACCGCTACGCCAATGGGCATTGCACCTCAAAACTCTCCTCCATGCCTACCAGGCAGACCCTCCTGACTTCGGCCTCCCATCATAACCATGTCGAACTTCGTACATCCAAAACTGGCCGATACAATCGCTCCTTTGGCCCTAGGGTATCGAGATCGTGGAACAATCTCCATGAGGAAGCTTTACCCAGTTCTACTAATTTTAGGCAATTTAAAAATCGGGTTAACAAAGTTTCTTTAAGCTCATTTTGTTTTGTGCCTGAAACGCCCGGCATACCCATAATGTGTATATGTACTTTAATATAAAATATTATTGCTCACCATGAACAAATTAATCCGTACACTTACTAATCGAAACTTTTTTAGTGCCTGCAAAGTACAAGTGCGACCGATGTGGAAAGTGTTATCAACACCAAGCTTCTCTCTGGAACCATAGGCGGTACACCTGCGGGCATCAGGTACCTCATTTCTATTGCCCTCAGTGTGTCTTTACTACCAAGTATGCCCATATCATCCAACAACACGTGATGGCCAAACATAAACAGAGATTATCAAGAAATGAGGCATTGAAGTTGCAACGAACAACGAAGGAAGAATCATATGTGTGTAGCAAGGTCAAGACTGATGTTAAACAATTTTGAGCATCAAATGAAATTGTCGGATAGAAACAATGAATTCTAATAGATTCGGAGTAGCCAAGCCTATATGTTTACATTGCATTGTTTGTCGCCAAAATTGCGTAGTTTTAGTGCATACTTTTGACTCAATTGGCTACCATTGCCTGCCAAAGTGACAACGTTGTATCAACATAATAATAATACTTGCTGATGGAAATATCGACCTTGATTAGGCTTGTGCCGCTCTTTGCAAATTCTGCAAGAAGTACCATTCCCAGAAATCGTCTAACGCCACAATCTGCCAACACGCGAACATTTGAAAACTAAAATTAAAAATATGAGTTTTAAGACAGAACTGCCAAAAAATTAACTTATGACAACCTCACTTTGTAGAATGCACTATCATCCTGACTGCAGACTGAGATTTTGGAGTCAAACAAATAATAGTCTTGCTTTGCTCCTTCTACCTAGTCTGAACTCATTTGATCGAAACGGGCTCTGTACTTTTTATTTCTCCGCATAAAAAAAATTGTGATCTTAGGCATTATAAAAGTGTTTATAAACTGATAAGCAGTGTTGTTGGAAAGCTAGGGCCACGGTTGTACTCCTAGGTGGCAGGTGACGAGTTGGTCCAAATCTCGTGAAAAGCACTCAAATATACTTTTTATGTCCCAACCCTTAATAAAATGTTTCTGGGCGTTTTTGAGATCAATGACCTCGATTTCTCCAGTCATTAGAGTTGTATTTCTCAAATAAAGCACTAAGCGAAAATAAATTATTTGCCTGTACCTATTCTTACCTGACTGCCTCAGAAGGAAGAATATGTTCTTCACGCGTGCGTATGTACGTATGTATAAAAAAAATAATATTTTTCGGAGTCGGATGGTTTAAATTGAATGCCTCATATTTATTGGCTGTGAATAAAGACATTTCAAGTACTATTCAGAGCTGCCAGTTGACCTAAGCGCACTGAGCTAAAATTAATGACTGTCATAGGTCATATTATTAATATTTTAAAATCTGCTATACTACATTAGTAATTCAACGCTGTTTAAAAGGGTTAGATATGAAGTTAATACAAAGCTTAATAGCACCCGAATATTGGCTCTCATGGAGACTTCTATGGTTGTGATGTTCAATATAATGGATAGCCCGAAATATCAGAAGACATGAAAAAGGAATGGCACAATTTGCCTTAAGAAATCTTTTTTTGTCTCCAGAGGTTTTTCTGATGGAGAACCCCCAACAATGATGTATCCATGCAGCAAAGAGGTAAATTGCACTCTTGCATACACACATCATCTAGATCTAATAGGATATAAAGAATTCATCAAAAAGCCTCCTATATTGTTTCTTCCCTTTAGAATCCATTGCATATATTATTATTAAATCGGATATTTGCTGTTTAATGGGCAAATAGATGAAAATCCTCTTCCTCATACTCCTCCTTTTCACGATATTCAAGAGTTATCTATGAATGTTTCACTCACTGCTTACTTTTTGTATTTAGCTGCTAGATTACCGCAGTGCAGCAACACATCGTGATATTGATTGTGCATCTCTAAAATCGGCAATATTTTTGTCCGGATTGTTGTGACATACGAGAAACTACAACTGTCTGCAAATTGTTTCTATTTCAATCAAACTTCTAAACCCCAAGGATTACTCTTCCATTTGTGACACCTTGCAAAAATGATGTGAATTACCAAGACGAGTAACAATTCCAAACCATTGTTTTATCGGTTTTTGTAGCGCGATTACCTGACTTTAAATCTAAATCGCTTTTTTGTGGTTATTTTTGGTTGTAGTGTGCCCATTCGCTGTGTTTTCCTTTTCGTTTTTTTTTTTTTTAATAAATATTTTGATTGGTGGTTTCGGAGACTTCTGGTATTTATAACTCTGATCTGTACACAAAAATTTCATTTGGCAAAACAAAATAGAACTGATACCTCTAATGCCATCTAAGGGATGCTACCTCGATATGCTGTACGGAACTCATATATATAACAAGGCGTTGAGGAAAAAGAAATACAGATAGCTAATACTGAGAAGTCAGCGAAAAGCAGTGCTGCGCGTTTTATGCACTTACAGAACCGTGTCGACCGATTCACCGCTTGTGGTAGCTGGTATCCCGCCAATTGATTTGCTGACGCGGAGAGATGTGCATTCTATAAAAAGGTCCTGGCAGTTACAAGGGACGAAAGAGGGGCGCTTTTCGTCAGATGACGTGAGAGGTGGGACGCACACAGCATGGCTATCTTGACAGCTACCTGAAAAGGGTAGGTGGGTTAACCACCAGACACACATGGAATTGAAGCTCGGCTTAAGGCTCACTGTTGACAATTGTGACCGACTGAGGGGGTTTTAGTGAGTAAGCCATTTCTGAAGACTCTCACACTTCGGGCAGTAAAGGCCGGCAGGACAATACTATCGCGTTTTTCTGCCTGAGTGATGTTGCCTGCCACCTACCACTCGCCACCCGTCGCCTGCCATTTCGAAGTATAACCGCGACCTAAAACATCGTAATGTATATGGAGGCGTTGAGCGGAACTGAATATGCAAAAATATGAGTACATCTAAACCCGCAACTCATTGGTCCGTGATTCCATTGCAGTGATCCTGCCAATTGACTTACAGTGCTAATTACCGGGCTTGATTCTTATGAAGGCAAGTTCAAACCACCAAAACAATCGTTTCTTTATTTGAAATCCCGCCAGGTCCGATTTTTTCCACATCTCAAAAATCATCTAAATATAATATAAAGTTTTTGTCCTGTCCAGTTCTTTGCATTGATAAAAGCTAGTCACTGGGTAAAATGTATTATAATAGATGGGCAATAAATGTTTGAGTACCTCATCTACAGAAGTTGTTTACCTTTTTCCAATGATTTATTATATTGAACCAACAAATAGTTGCGAGCTGCACAGGTATTTCGTATCTTGAGAAGTGACATTTTGCACAGGTTTTTTGACATTTTGTACCGTTTTTTTTTTCTTGACATGTAACAGTTTTTTAACTTAGCGTAAGTTTTTCTATAAGATCTCAACTTAGCACTATCTGTTGTACTCTTGTTGTGAACTCGTTTTGCAGCTGTATCTACGTGTTGCCTAAACGTCATGATGCTTCATCTATCAATGTTTGGCTATGATGTAACATCTGCTTCAGACATGACATTATTGTAGGTCCAAGCTGTAAGTTGTATACTACAACTAGAATCACACGACAGTGCAAAGGTGCATAGTGATCATTTGTGTGCTAATAATCTGTGCTGACGATAATTACAAAAGTTTCTTGTCTCAAACCGATCAAATACACTTACCTCCCCATTTGACAACGCTACAATTTAGAAACTTTACCCCGTGCCCTACCCGACCATCTGGCAACGTTGCGAAACCTCGCTAGTCAGCCGGCACACAGTGATCTAGATCACCGAAAATCTGGCAAAAATACAATTTCTACAGAGTTTATACGATTTTCATTGCAATAGGTTTTTTAGGTTGCCGATTTCAATTCTGGGTCGCGGCGGTCAGGCGTCAGACCCCCACATACGGTTCTGTACACAAAAGTATACATTCGTTGCGTTACTCTGACCGATACGCGACGCGTCTGTTGATAGTATATTGCTTAGTTATTCTAAGTTTTAAGGGCAAATTCACGGGAAAATTTATGGTGTATGGAAAACTAATATGTGTAAAATTATCATGGTTGGAAGCGTATAAATCTACTAACCTCAAATTAAGATATTCCATCCTCCATCACTCACAGTCCCCTCAGGAATTTTTTCTGAAAATGATCAGATGCCTCTAAAACTCAAAAAACTAAGTTTAAGCGGTTTTTATTTTTCATTTTTGGCCTGTAGCACGGCCGCCGCGATTTTCAAAACTTACAAAAATTTAGCGCCCTTGACTACTACTGTGTCAAAATTTCATCAAAATCCGACTCAAATTATACAGGGGCCAAAGATTAGCGGCTGAGACCGACAGACAGGCGGACGGAAGTGAGTCATGGTTTTTCGTGTCCAGCTACAAAAAGTAAAAGAAAAGGAAAACTGTAATGGTTTCTTTGCTTTTGTGTACATTTCTTTGGCGGTGACAGAGTGTTCAGAGTTTGGTAAAAGAACCTCAAATATTGCTTTTAGGGTAGGCATGAAAACGTCATCAACTGCAGCCAAAAAATTGTACCACTACTACAGCATTCAAAAAGAGAACTATAGTTAAAAAGGTGAATATAGACTCAGAAATAAAAGACAATGTTTCAATGCATACTAATATGTATAATATCGATAATTTCTCTGTACATATGAAACATAAAATTTGTATTAAATTATAATTCAATGAAAAAAATACACTCTATCTTACATAATATAAAGATTCAATAAATAGATTTTGTTTGTCCAAATGTGCAATATGTGCATTCATCTTAACGCCAAATGTCATGTTCTGGTTTCTCCCCGTCGCTGATCTTCTTCTGATAGCGTTTCAGCTGACCAGCCTCTTTCTTCTTCTCCAGGAACCAGTTAATTTCATTTTTCTCCACGGGTTTCAAACTTGCATTGAGTATCGGTTGTGGAGCATTTTTCAGTACGACTTTTCCGTCTTTTAGCTCCAATATACCTGCAAAGAAGAGAAATATGTATAATCACGTATTCTACAGGGTCCGTCAGAAAGAACACATGTTTTTCGAATGAGTACTACATCGAGTAGGCTGGTTCCGTGTCGGTGGGGAAGGGCGTGTTGGATAGTGGAAGAAGTGCCGTTTCAGTTGGCAAGATGGTTTGGAACGTTGAGCATCGTGTGTTCAATGTACGTCGGTACTTTCAAAATCGCGAGTCTGTCGTTCGAACGTGAGTTTCGCGTTCACTTTCGTGTTCCACGTCGTGGGACAGTACCAGTCCAAAACACCATTTTGAGATGAGTGGAAGCATTCAACACAACAGGTAATGTGATGAAGAAAAAACCGCCAGGGCGAAACCGTACTGTTAGAACGCCGAAAACGTAGACAGAGTGAGAGTTGACACGCTGCAAAGCCCGAATCGTTCCGTCCGTTTGCGTGTCAGTTCCCTAGGATTCCACGCGTCCGGTGTACGTCGCATCTTGAAGAAGGATTTAGTGTTACATCCTCACAAAATCCAAGTTTATCAACAATTGTTGCCAGGGAATTATGCACAACTTGTTAATTTTTCACAGCTCATGATTGAACAGTTAGATAACAATGACATGACATTGTTTATGAGTGATGAAGCACATTTTCATTTACATGGGTACGTCAATAAACAAGATTGTCGATATTGGTCTCCAGTGAACCCGCAACAGTTGCATGAGCAACCCCTGCATACCCCGAAAGTTAGTTTGGTGTGCAGTAGGCCCAACGATGATTATTGACCCTTATTTTTTTGAGGATGATGGAGAAACAGCTACTGTGAATTCAGAGCGTTACATCCACATGCTGAACAGATTTTTGTTTCGGAACTTCGACGTCGACGAGTCCATCTCAGAACAGTGTGGTTCCAAAAAGACTGGGCAACATCTCACACAGCTCACACTTCGATGCAAATTCTTCGGCGAAAATTCCCAGTACGTCTCATCACACGTCATTGCGATATTCCATGGCCCCCTCGCTCCCCGGACTTATCAACGTGTGATTTTTTTATGGGGCTACCTGGAATCAAAAGTTTACCAAAGCAAGCCTCGGACCCTCGTCGATTTGAAGGAGGAAATAAGAAGAGAAGTAATGCAAATTCCTGCACGGATGCTGGCTGACGCAATGGGCGGCATTTCGGGTGAGGCTTGATTGCTGCATTTCGGCTCAAGGGCACCATATGGCCGACATAGGTTTTAGAACGTAAATTTTTACTCAAAAAATTTCATGTATTTCTGAGTATTTTGATATAATAAAATATGTTTTCCCATACCTATTTTGACTGTACTACTCATTTAAAAAACATGCGTTCTTTCTGACGGACCCTGTACCTGAAGATAGCCAACCGAATACTATATTATTATGTGCAAAAAACTATCCGAGATAAAATGAGATACTGGAGCGTTATCTATGAGAATTTGTCACATCTTCCCTTCTCCTCTCCACACTAATAAGACATCTACGTTAAAAAATGTTGTGCCTCAGATGGCGCTGTAGCTAAATATATATAGTACAGGGCGCGGCGGCATAACTTCTCTTAAAAGTTCTGTCCCGACGAAGTTCAGTTGCTGTCATACGCCAGGACAGTGAGGAGCGTACTTTTGCCGTTGATGCCTAATTTTCGAGCGGATGTTATGTGATTGCAACCCAGCATGCCTTCCGGAATCACTTTAATTAAGCCTCATTGGCCCCTGTCCTGGACCGGAAATCAATTGTTATGAGGGTTACTACGTTCGGACAAACTGCAAGTGCGGCAAGAAGATGAACTGGAGTCGGCCCATTAGGCGACCTGAGAATACTGAGGCATTGAGTGCTTCAATCTTGCGATCACAGGGGTGTTCTACACCCAAACATGCGTGAGCCCTTGATCTTTCCGATCGTTTTATGAGGAGAATTCTTCATGATGACCTTCATTTGCAAAATGGAAATTGTTCAGAGCCCTTCTGAACGTGATTTCACTTCTCGGATGAACGTACATACTATTGTTTTTAGCTATGAAGCCCATTTTCATTTGTGTGGATCCATGAATAAGCAAAACAGTGGGATGAAACCAATCCTCAAAGAATTTTGCATTCAGCTAAAGTCCCAGTGTGGTGTGCAATATACTCGCCTGAAATTATTGGTCCCTGGTTCTTTGAGGAAGATTAAGTCGCAAAGACAGTGAATTCGGACCGATATGTAACACTAGATGGATTTTTTTACACGGCTAGATGAGTTAGGCTTAAGGGACATTTGATTCCAACAAGTTGGTGCAACTGCACAGCCTCAAGAGCATCGATGGCAATTAAGTCGAATGGCTCTCCCGATTTGACACCCTGTGAAATTTTTCTATGAGGTTTTGAGAAATTCCATGTTTATTTGAACTGACCAAGGGCCCTGCAAGATTTGAACACCAATATCCAGGAAGAAATTGCCTACATAACGCCAGATATGCTGGCAACAGTCATGACAAACGCCAGAAATCAGTTTACTCATTGTATGGAGAAGGGGGACCACCTATCTAACTTGATCTTCAAAACTATGTGAAACATTATAAAAAACAAATAAAAATTTTCTGATTCATACAACGGGTTTTATCAAGTTTTGAAAAAATGAAGCTATACCTTGTATAGTTGGCTACAGGGCAACCTTTTCAAAGTAGATTTCTAATTACTGCGGAGAGGAGAAACAGAGCCAATTTTTTGGACTCGGCAATATAGTATGAGTTGGCTATCGTCAGGTACAATACGTTAATCAAATAGTATATTGGAAACTCTAAACGAGCAATATGTTTGTTGCAATATTTGGCTGACTATTGTAACTATAGCACACCCAACTATGATCATATCACAACACATCGGCCGGCTATATATCTCAGCTATATCAGTTATAGCAGCAATTTTGTCTGCGACATGAGACACATACACTTTTCAGAATGTACAATCAGAATGGTTATAAAATTAGGCAAGAATGACGTAATTACATTAAGGTAAGATTTAAATAGTTGGGTAATCTGAAAGCAATATATGAAAATAGGTCGTAAATATCAAACCATGTGTAGCAATATACAACTTTCCACCACGGATTTATCAAAAACCACTGATTAAAAGAAAAAAACGCGGAGACACTTCAAAATATTAGTCAAGGGGGACCAAATACGACTTCACCCCCTTTTACCCTCGGACACCAGGAGCATTCCCTTAAAAAATTTAAATGACAAGTGGTATCGAGTAATAGATTGTTTGAAAGGTCTTTCGAATTCGTTTATAATTTAAAACGGAAAATATCAACATAAACAGCAATTGGGAAGATTAGACGTGGCAACAACTAAATAACAACCCGAATTTTCCGCATTCTTTTCATCAACACAGATATCCTGGCCGAACTGTATTTATTGTTATAACTGTTTAGTTATTTATTGCTAAGGGAAAGAAATAATTTAATTTATTGATTCAGATTTTACTTCCAAAATGGTTTACACACTAGCCGAAAGAGTTTAACTGATTCTACTTCATGGTGACCAAAATCAATGTGCTCGGCAAACTGCCATCACGTTTAACGCCATACATCCGGGGAAGATAACTTCGCATAGGTATGTTTTGGACCTTGTTCCTTAATTTACTAAAACTGAATCTGTTGTAAATGAAAAACGTGATCATCGAAGAGTTTTGGATGAAGCCGCTCAAGTTGAAGTTTTGGATCATTTTGGAATAAATCCTAATACTTCATTACGCAAAATTGCTGCGACGGGTATATTATTAGGCTATGTACAAACAGTTACTAAACTCCATAAATTTCATCCATTCAAAATGAAAATATTACAAGAGTTAACCGAAAATGATTTCGATAGGCGAGTTGAGTTTTATGAACAAATGACTGCAGCGATTAATGATAATACCATTCATGTACAGAATATCTGCTTCAGTGATGAATACACATTTTATCTAAACGGATTTGTTAATAAGTATAACTGCAGGTATTGGAGCAATGAAAATCCTCATGCTCTTGTAGGAGGGAATACCCAGTACCACCAAAAAATTAATGTATGGGCAGGCATTTTAGGAAACAAAGTGATTGGGCCATTGTTTATTAATGGACATTTGAATGGAGACATTTATTTGAATATGTTGGAAAATACCATCAATCCGCTTATCACTGAAAACCCTATACTTGATGAGACTGAAATATATTTCCAGCAAGACGGCGCTCCTCCTCACTATGTCCTTCCGGTTCGGCAATGGCTAGATGACGAGATTCCAGGTAAATGAATAGAGCGAAGAGGACCTATAGAATGGCCTGCTAGATAACCTGATTTCACGGCATCAGACTTTTTTCTATGGGGCCACTTGAAATCTATTGTGTTCACTACCAAACCTGAAAGTTTGGATGAACTTCGTCAACGCATCATCGAACATCGCCTATATCATTGGCCAATAACGGGCAACATTTTGAACACTTATTGAAATAAAAAGTGATATTTTTGTGTGTTTTTGTTTTTTATCTGAACAAATTAAGATAAAGATTTTTCTAATTTTCTCGAAAATGAATCGACCGATTTAAAACAATCAATCGTTAAAATAAAGGACTTCAAAAACCTTTAAAACAGGTTATTACTCGATAACCCTTGTCATTTAAAATTTTTAAGGGGATGGCCCTGGGGGGCAGAGGGTGAAAGGGGGTAAAGTAGTTGTTAAAAAGTTGTCCCCCTTGACAAATCGCTTGAAGTGTCTCGGCGTTTTTTCTTTTAATCAGTCGTTTTCGATAAATCCGTGCTGAGAAGTTTTCAAATGAACACCCTGTATAGCAGAGCCATACTAAAAATATTGCCGTATGTTGCTGGCTACCCTGTTGGGGCTAGATAATGCAGTAAAAACGTATCCCGTTTCAAGGCTCTACAAGAAATAAAACGGAAGGTCCGTGACTTTTTAATCGAGCCTGAAGCATTACGTTTTAAATAATTACAATATTGGAAATCACTACTATCAAAGCGTTGAAGGCAATCTGAAATTTCGCTGTTTGATATGACCTTACAGTCAAAAGAGGTGTCAAAGTCGATTTATTTTGCGGCCAAATTGTATCTCGAATGAATTGCATCAATTTGTAAAATGGTTCATTTTAAATAACAATGACAGACATTGTCAGTTTTATATTACATTTGCCGAAATTCTACGATATAACTAATACATTACTTTGTCTCAAGATAAACGGTATCCAGTATATCTTTATAAACTCAAAAATGTAGTATTTTGGTAGTGTTGGAGTTTTGCCTTATGATAATAATATGTGTACACACATTTATTTAATAAATTATTTGCAGGTATATAATGCTCAGCAAGAAAGAAAGTTATCAACAACAAAAACAAATCAATTTTAAATTCAGTTTCTACTGATCTCCATCAAACTCCTGGATAAAAGTAAAGAGTAAATCTCTAACGATTTTTCTTTTTTTATGTCAGGATATTTCTATTATTTTACTGTATTTTGAGAAACTTTTTGATATTCCGTGGAATTTCATGGAATCTAGAGACATATTCCATTCCATTGCAGGATATTTTGTGAAAATTTAGGGATTTATTTTTAGTATTTCGTCATAGTTTTTGATAACTTATTTTAATTTTTTAGTTTTTTTTTTGTAACATTTGTCTTACTGGTTTTAATTTTCTGGTCGAGCTCTAGAATAGAAAATTTTTTCACTTCTTTTATTGTTCCATAAGAAATTGCAAGGTATTTCACAATAAACCATTGAGGTTTCAAAATATTTGAAGGAAATGGTTATTCCGACGAGAAAATACGTGAATTTCATGATATTTCAGAAAGGTATTGCTAGGAGTGTTCCCTGAGAAATCCCGGGTATTTAAATTGAAGAAGTTGTGTATTTTGATATTTTCCATAAATAGGGAACTTTTGTCTACATGAAAGTGCACACTAATGATTAAGGATACCTACAGGGTGTGGCAGCATAACTTTTTTCAAAACTTAATAAAACCCTTTGTATGACTCAGAACATCTTTATTTGTATTTAAAATGAAGGCGCACACCTAACGGGGTTTAAAAAACCCCCATAGAAAAAATCACAAAGGACCAAATCGGGAGAGCGGGCTGACCACTCCAAATCGTCCCTAATTGAGATTATGCGCTCTGTGAAATGTTCCCTCAAAATAGCCATCGGCGCTCTTGAAGTGGGCACCTGTTGGAACCAAATGTTCCCAACTCATCTAGCCGAGGAGAAAAATTCCTGGCAACAATGTTCGAATTCACCGTTAGTGCGACTTCACTTTCCTCAAGGAACCAAGGACCCATAATTCCCGTTGAGCAAATTGCACACCACACCGAGGGACTCCAGTTCTTCGTGTTGTCGTACTTGCAGCTTTTCTGAACGTAGTGAACCAAGCGACAATTGATTTCCGGTCCGAGACAGGTGCCAACGGGGCTAAATTAAAGCGATTGCGAAAGGCGCGCTGGGTCGTTATCACAGAACAGCCGCTCGAAAAGTAGGCCTCAACGGCAAAATCACGAACGTTTTAAAAAAGGAAGTTATGCTGCCGCACCCTGTACATTGAGTAATTAATGCCATAACCATTAAAGCTTACCTTGCTTAGCCATAGCCTTCATTTCCTCTTTTGTGATGATAAACTTCTGCACCTTCACTACTTTTCCACCCATACTCTTTAGCTTTGCTTTCTTCTCATACACGGGTTCGGACCTCAGCTGGTTGAGGCTAGGAGGTAGCCTTTCTTCCACTGGAGTGGCATCTTCAATGACATTTGCTGTCGCGTTATCGTCATCAATTGTAATTGTGTCCATTGGTTGCTGCTGCTGTTGTTGTTGTATTCTAGAAGCAAAATCAGAGTTGAATACACAAGCCGTACAAGGGCGTTGAATGGAGCATTCGCAAAAGCTCAGTTTAGACGACTCTGGATACTTCTGAATTTCCTTCAATGGACCATAATGATATTAAATATAGATAGATTTTTGTGGAAACTCTCTCAAACACAAAATATAGAAGTTCAGTTAATACTTACTGTGCAAAATTCTTTACATTATGGGGTCTCTTTTGAGGAGCGAATTTCCTAGTATAGACTTTGGTACCCTCTTGGCGAATGATAGGCTTCAAACGTTCTGTATTTTCTGATTCGATTTCCTCAGGTTCTGAAATGGAAACATTATACATTGGAAAATAGCTATTCGCAAAAATATTTCTGTTTATGCACATTTTTTAATGTCTTTTCAAATATTGATTTTAAAGGTTTGGGGATATCGCAAACATGGCGAAAAGAAGCTTACCGATCTTCTGGACTGGCTCATTTGCTTCAAACTCCGCATCGATCTCATCCTTGAGAAAATCGTTAGCTGGTTCTGTAGAACCATCTGCTTCGTCTACATCGGGAGCTGGATTGTCCAGATTTACGATAGTGTACTCCTGGGAAAAAGACGTCAATCAGATTGGGTTTTCACTTCAGAAGCAAAGGAACTAGCTTGTAATTAATTATCAACAGTTAGCTGTACAATAGGTGTTAAAATAATTCCACCATTTTTCAATGTATTTTCTTGTTTTTGTAAATACCCAAAGAACGTATTTAGTAGAAGGTACTCAAACAATAAAGTTTCCACGAAAACCCCAAAAATCTTCAAAGTATAGCTTAACCTTCAGAGTTGTACAAGACTACTCACTCCTTATATGAATTAGACTGACACCAATTTGAAGTCCCCTACTTTTTTACAAAAATGTCTATGTCTTTAACTAAAAGTTCAACGAATGACACTAATGGAGAAACAATTGATTTTGGTAAGTTTAAAACCCTTCCTATAAAGACCTATTTAATACTGCCAGTCTTTACAGGTCTCGAGAAGAAGATGCTCAACTAGGCCACCTTTGTCCCTTTTTGCCGACTCCTTAGTACCAGCACTGGGCTGCTCCACAAGCCATCTACTGGTAAGTAGTAAGTTCATTCAGTAAAATTATAAAGGATGATTCGCAAGTAAGTGACCAAAAGTGAAACATCATGCACAGGACCGCATTAAAATGAACGTGCACCAGAGGGTGAGATACAGGGGATTAGTTGCATTATTTTTCCAAATAAAAATACAGGGTCCGGCAATCCGAACATCAAACAGCGTCGACTTTTGCCCACTGTACATCTATCGTTTCCCCCATACCCCAGTTAGACGGCGAAGTAGCAGCAGAATCTGCAAGACAAACTCCAAAAGAATTCGATGATGCACCAATAATCGATATAGTACCATCAGGTGGATCACCGAAACGTAATGCCTCAGACAGCTGTCGGAAAATCATTATAATTGGTGACGAATATGCAAAAGGTTTCAGAAAAGTGTTAGAATTATACACCGACATGACAAAAAGCTCACGTTTATCCCAATTTAGAGTTTGTAGATATCACAAAAAACGTATTTAACATCACAAAATATCTTGGTGAGAACGATTTTGTAATCTTCATGATCAACTCTAACAATATAAGTTACACCCCATCCTTAAACAAAGGTTTACATTGCCTCTTACCTCTCGGTCGAGTAACCAATCTTATTTTTTTATGCGAATTGACCACATCTGTCGACTATCATCTTAGAAATATAATTAATACTAAAGTCGATAGACTCAGGAAACTAAATAGAAACTATTCTTTGAGCCTATTCTATGACATCAGAGCTACGGGATCAAAAATGACAATCATCCAGCATGTAAAGGATATTATTTTTGAACAATTAAAAAATGTATTGCCTTTGAAAACTGTACAAATCAACATCCCCGACAAGTCTGAAAAACAGTTTTTTCTTAAGTAAAGCACTCATTAGGGAAGATAAACAACAGAATAATACAATACCAAAACCAAGATCTGTTAAAACAGTAAAAAACAGTAACATGCTCTTTAGACTACTACATCTAAATATCCAAGGTGTTCGCTGTAAGTCAGGAATCATCGAATCACTGTGTGAAAAGAATAAATATACAATGCTCTCTATAAATGAACACTGGTTAAGAAAAGATGAGTTATCCTATAATCATATCTCTGGTTTTAGATCTGTATCTAGTTTCTGTAGGGATGTGAAAATTCGTCGTGGTGGTGTGGCTATTTATATAGCAAATCATGTTAATGCCGTACCTCTATCAGATAACCTTCTGAATCTGTCAGAAGAACTACACTTTGAGGCGGCCGGAGTAAATGTGAATGATCTTCAGTTAATCTCACTGTATCGATCTCCTGATGGTAATTTTGAATACTTTATTATGAAACTTTGTCGTTTATTGGATGGACTCGATTACCGCAAGCAAATTGTGATAACAGGAGATTTTAATGTTAGATTTAATACGTTACAACACCAAGCTCAGGAGCTTGTGAACTTATTTAGTTGTTATGGTTTCATGCCAATAGTTAGTCAAAATACAAGAAACTCAAGTTGTCTAGATAACATCTTCATAAACTACGTAGACTCAGAAATTAGCGTTAATGTTTTTGATACTCATTATTCAGATCATTTAGCGCTTGACTATACTTTTAATTTATCACATGCACCGAAAGTACGTAGGAAACTCTATTATAGACCTATAACAAACAGCGGCCTTTTCAAACTTTACAATGATATGGAATCAACATCTTTCGAATTTATTAATGAAAAAAGTACGACAATCGAATATAAAATTGAAAAATTCATATCCATTGTCAGAATTTCGGTCAATCAACATCTTCCTATAAAATCGCGACTTGTTAATGATAATAAAAGCTCCTGTAATGTGTATTGGTTCAATGATCATATAAGAAATATGAGAGAGACTTTGACTTTCCTAACAGAGCTTCATAAAGACGATGTTACTTTAGTTAGTACGGACTGCTTGAAACAATTTAAATACAGTTACAGACAAGAAATTGTCAAAGCTAAGATTAAAGCCAATGATGACTACATTAATAAATCCAACAGACAACATGCTGCTTGGAATATCATAAAGAATGTTAAACCGAACGTGCACAACCAGGACTCCTCAACATCTCTCACAGCACATCAATTCAACGACTTTTTTACCCATATCGCACAAAAACTTTTAAATAAAATTACCCCATCCGATGTTTCTCCATCGCATTATATGAATCATCCTACTCATAGTTCACACTTTCGATTCAGGGAAGTTTCATATCATGATGTGAGAACTGCCATAAATAAACTAAAAAACTCAAAGAGTACTGACCCATATGGCTTTACTGTCAGGATTGTCAAAACCTTGCAAAATCTCATCATATATCCTCTTACCAAGTTATTCAATCAGTGTATAGAAAGTAATACTTTTCCGGATTTTTTCAAACTATCTAAAATTATACCCATTTTCAAACAAGGGGATACTGAAGAGTTATGCAACTACAGGCCCATTTCCTTAATACCTATTTTTGCGAAAATTTTGGAATTATTGTTGAAAGATCAAATTAATGAATACTTTGAGGCTAATAATCTATTTTGCTCAACACAGTTTGGTTTTAGGAAAAATAGTTCCACCACATCAGCTATTAACAGTTTTATTCAGTTTGTGAACGAGACTTTTGAAAACAACCTATATGGCGCAGCATGTTTGTTGGACTTGTCCAAAGCTTTTGATTGTGTTCAACACGACATCCTGTTGGAAAAGCTTCCTTTTTATAACTTTCATGAAACATCCACTGCAATGATTAAATCTTACTTGAGTAATCGACGCCAATTTGTATTCTTTAAAGGTTCATCATCCTCACAGTTAGTCGCTGCTCACGGGGTACCGCAAGGCTCGGTATTGGGACCTATTTTATTTTTAATTTACGTCAATGATATAACTAACTATAATGTGAATAATAACTTAATCCTATTCGCTGATGACACTACCTTGAAGAATAGCAATGCCTCTTTAGCCTCATTGATATTCGACTCTGAAGCTCATAAAAGAAAACTAGCAAACTGGTTAACCGCTAATAAGTTGACCATCAATGAAACCAAGTCTCAGATGATTATTCTTAGCTTGAGGCAGCACGACACTAATACACTAAAGTCCGTGAAGTTACTAGGAGTCTACCTTGATGAACACTTGTCGTGGAAACTCACGTAATCCATGTTCTCAATGCACTAGCAAAATATATATATTTGATAAGGAACTTGAAACAAAATGTCTCTCAGTCAGTTCTTCTTCTAACATATTATTCCTACTTTCAATCAAGAATTTCATACGCATTGTTAAACTGGGGTCACTCGGCTCATTCGTCAAAAGTTTTTGGATTACAACGACGTTGCTTGCGGTACATTGCTGGCCTCAAATACACGGAACCTTGCAAGGAAGCTTTTATAGAATTGAAAATCATGACAGTACCTTCTCTTTACATCTTCACATGTCTGATGTATATAAAGACTAACCTGAGCCAATATACTACCCACAGTGATGTCCACAGTTATAGAACCAGAAATATGGATAAAATCTTAGTACCTCATAGCCGTCTCCAAACCACCAGGAACGGCACAAACTATTATGGGATAGTTTTTTATAACCTGTTGCCAGACCGTATAAAGAAACTGGATGCGAAAGTTTTTAAAAATAAAGTTAATGCTTACCTGACTACTAAAGCATTTTACTCGATCAACGAGTATTTGAGCAACAATTTTTCAGACTTGTCGGATTGTTAGCAAATACAACCTACACCTGGGATCCTCTAGGCTCCTTGAACTTGCTACTAAGTCATCTGGTAAATTTTTATATCAACATTTCATATGTCTTACCATTTTAACGTATATGTGTGTATGTGTGTATATATGTATGTGTGCGTGTGTGTGTGTGTGTAGAAGTAAACATATTGTGGTTAAATGAATATGCGTGTATTTATGTACGTATATATGTCCTCCTGTTTTTACAACTTTTATGGACTGTATCTGTTTTTATTGAATCATAATGTCATAAGTTGATGTTTTTTTGTGTAATTTGAACATCAGTCTTTTGTCAGACTGCTTTTTTGTATTAATTTTGTTTTTCTTTTGACTTGTGTAAACACGCTGGTGTACTTAACACAAATAAAGAATTGAACAATGAAGTATGGTGTTTTTGCAACGACTATTACATGCAGCACTGTCGAGCCAATGTTTTCACGATGATTGATATCTACTCGTTCCGCGATGCCATTTTAGTAGCCATGGAGCCGTGGTCTGTGGCACATCGCGTGTTTATTTACAACACTTTTATTGAAACTGGTCGTTCTGTTGTGCTCACACAGCGACGATTTCGAAACCATTTTAACGTTGGTCGGCATGGTCGCGTTCCAAGACGCGATACCATTTTGAAGTGGGTGAAACAACCGGATCGTTGAGACCTGGTACTGCAAGGGGAAGAGATCGAACAGCGCGAACTCCGGAAAACATTGAAAGAGTGCAACAAGCGGTGGATACTAGCCCTCACCGTTCAGCAGTACGTCACGCTCGCGCTCTTAGAATGTCAGATCGTTCAGTTCGCAGAATCTTGCATTTGGACCTCCATTACCACCCGTATAAAATTATGGTTGTGCAGAAGCTGCTCCAAAATGACTTTGTGAGACGACACAGATTCGCAGAAAGGATGCTGGAATTGCTGCACGGCAACATCGTTTTGTTCATGAGTGACGAGGCCCGTTTTCATTTATCGGGCATGGTAAACAAACAAAACTTCCGATACTGGGCACACGAAAACTCACGAGAACTGCATGAACAACCTCTGCACTCTGAGAGGGTAACTGTTTGGTGTGCCGTATCTCGAAATTGCATAATTGGCCCGTATTTTTTTCGTGAAAACGGACGAACAGTGTCAGTGAACTCAGATCGTTATTGCGCCATGTTGCGTGATTATTTTCTGCCCGAACTAAGAAGACGACGCATTGACATCAATACAGTTTGGTTCCAACAAAATGGGGCGACTTGCCATACATCAAGAGCTGCAATGGGCTTTTTAAGGGAACATTTTTCTGGGCGCCTTATTTCGTTGCATGGAAATGTGGAATGGCCACCTCGGTCACCAGACCTTTCATGTTGTGACTACTTTTTATGGGGCTATTTAAAATCCAAAGTTTAGATAGACAAAACGCAAACTCTTGAGGCTCTTTCGGAACTCATAACGCGCGAAATTGAAAGGATTCCTCGTGCCATGCTAGAAAGGAGTATGGATGATTTTGCAATCCGTCTCCAAGAATGCATCGACAAGAATGGACGCCACCTAACTGATGTAATTTTTCGCACCTGACTATGGTATGTTACTTAAATGGCATCATTCCACTAATGTATCAAAATAATAAATTTTGATGTATGTTTAAAAATGAAAGTTTGTAATTTTTTTCAAAAACACCATACTTCATTGCCGGACCCTGTAGTTCTCCACTGTTTTTTTTTAAACACAAAAAGAAATCCAGGGGGTTCAAATCAGGAGACCTCGCCGGCCAATGTACAGGTCCGTTTCTGCCAATCCATCGTTGTCTAAAATGGTTATTTAACCATGCGGTTATGTCACAACCAACATGCGGTGAGGCACCGTCGTGCTAATACCACATTCGTACTTTCGTTGCTAACGGACCATCATCTAACATATTTTCTATGTAATTCTAGAAACGCTAAGTAAGAGTTTGCATTTAAACGCTGTGGCAATATGTGCATAAACAGTTGGTCATTGAAAATGAGGCACCAGACATTTCTAGAAAATCTGTGTTGAAACGAGTGGATTCTTACAGAACGAGGATTTTCTAACGACCAAATATGTTCATTATGAGAATTAAAGGTTCCACTCGTCGTAGAAAGCGATTCATCTGACCACAAAACCAAATCAATAAAATCTGCATTTTGATTATGCATTTGCAGTAACCACTCACAAAAATTTCGCCGTTGCACTTCTTCGCCGGGTTGCAGACATTGCACATTTTGTAAGGATGTAAAACTTGACACAAGACTTTGGGAACATGATAACTGGGCTGAAATCCGCCTAGTACTTGTACTAGGAACGTCCAACGTCCAATTAATCACCTCCAGTTCCTCTTGAACAGTATGTCGGACAAGGTGGTCTGTAACTCCGGGAAGCTTGGCAATTCCAATTTACCAAAGTCTTAGAAATGAAGTGTAAAAACCTTTGTGGTAGGTTAGCGTCTGTTAGGAAGTCTACGTTGATACTCCCGAAAAGCTACTAAAGCATTTCCATTACAGAACCCGTACACAAAAATATCGGCGTACTCGTCATTGCTAAATTCCATTTCTCAATACTCAGAAATAGACATAAGACTTGACTTTGATGTAATTTGTTTTATTTTTATTAAGGAAAAATGCGCGTATCGAAGAACTCCGCCACTGGTGTACGTTAATTTTGAGTAAAGACTTTTGAATCTGGACAATACTTAGGTAAATCCACATACCAAATTTTAGTTCATTCCAGTTGAAGATATTAAAAAAAAATGTTTTTTAATTTTAAACTTCAACACCCCGTATCTTTTTAATGAAGCCCTCGAGGAAAAAATGTTACATAGAAGACCACCTTTAAAATGCGGTCCTGTGTATAATGTTTCATTTTTGGTCACGACTTGTGAATCACCCTGCATCGGCAATAAGCTAATTAGTGTTTTACGTCAAAACTAAATAAAAATAGCTACTTGTTAAAACTATATAAAAAATTTAGAATAAAAACATAATGCCTACTGATTAGGAAAATTTAAAATTGAAATCGTTGATGTTCCGCTTTACATAGTTAACAGACTTACGAATATATATGTAAATTCAAGGCACCGTCAAGAGCTTATTTGAATAAACGAGTTTTTGCAACATTCGCCCAAAACTAAGGTTGAACAACAATCTAATTATTCGTTTTTGTGATATAAAAACTCTGTTGATTTTAGAAGCTCTACCCTACCATAGGATGTTATAAGAAAAATGACTGTATACGAGAGACTAGTATAGTGATAACAGACTTTTTATCTAAATTCTGCTTCATATAAAATATGGCAAAATAGCCTTAATTTCAATTCAGTCACGCATTCTCAGTTTGGGTGCTGAAGGCGAGATCTGCATCCCATCAGCTATAAAGGAGTTTCACGTTATCCATTAATTGTAAACCAAGCTCTACATTTAATGTTGCCGAAGATAACCTGGATAGAAGCAACTAAGCACTATCACCATAATACAGGTCAAAACGTGAGAACAAATAACAGCTGATCATTTAGTGACATTTGAGATGCGTACGGGTACCTCATACTGCTTCGTACTTCCTCGCGACGTTGAAGCTTTTGCAACGTTTTGCATAAAGTAATTATGAAAGTTTTTTGGTATAGGAGGAACCATTCGATATTATGACATTCATTGAACTGCCGGCAGTATAGAATTAATATAAGGGGGCACTTAAGTCAGAATTGATCGATGAATCGTGGTAAATAGTGTAACTGTACTCTTGAGCCCAGTCTTTGCAGCAGTAGCTTGAATTGAAATAAAAATAGCTACCTGAACTTCAGACTCTTCTCCCTCTTCTTCCATTTCTGTATTCCTTCTGTCACCATACGTCCTCAAGACCTCCAGAGAACCACTGTTTGCTCCGATTCTTCTCTTTTTGTTGCTGACACGTAACTGCTTCTTCGGAAAATTCTCGACAACTGGGGTTTCCTCATCGGCAGCTACATTTCCGAAAGTCATCTCACCTTTTTCTATGGCCTCCGTGATTACCTCTCTGAAATAACCAGAAAATTTGTTACTTCATGGAACAGTTCAAGTATTTTGTAAAACTTAACGCACAGATTTCACCAAAGGATACCGACGGCAAGTCGACTTCAGCTCGACTTCGACTTAGGTTGAATTGCTTTCGCGTTCCCTGTGAAGCAACTGCCAAGCAACTGACAGTCTTGTTAAAAGATTATGGATAAAGTCTCTGACTTAAAAGCAGGCGGAAAGGAAATAGTCTATTTTGGTTCTTTTATTATTATAAGAAAAACGTCTTTTACAAATAAAATATACCCAGATCAATCAATCAGTATCTGCATTTTTTATGTGAAAAATAAATAATTACATATATGCTATGAATCATCTGAAGAAAGTAACACCTTATATGCTAACATATAGATTGTGTCTGATGATCCCTCGTGAACTATCAGATTGGTTGTCACAATTCTTGTATCGACTATAGCTCTTCTGCTGATTTAATGGCTTCACAACAATGAACACAAACACGCGATGGGAAGTACTTTTTTCGATTTACCAACAATTCATGGTGCGATCGTCAGGGGTATTACGTATCATTACGTATCTTAAAAAGTGATATGTTTTTGTTTGATATTATATAGGTTTTTTGTGACATGTAGGTTTTTCTACAAGATGTCAACTTAATACTAGGTGTTGTACATTGTACTCGTTCTTTGATTCCCTGTAATGCTTCACAAAGTTTTTGAAAACGCAAAAAATAGGAAAATCGTAATGTATTAACATGTATTAACATAACCTCTCTTCAGAAAGGACAGCACAAATAACCCGTCTGGCACAGTCTAATAGATATATTTATGGGCAGCACATTCAGTAATAATTTTCTCTCATAGCAAATATCACTGATTTTATACTCATGCAGACCAATACACACAATCATCCAGATGTGATCTTGCTACTATGTTCTTCAACCACACATCTTCTCAGAGTATAGTCTACAGACTATCTCGCCATTCTGCAACCAACAAAGTATGAATGGGGAGCTGAATTGCAGCTAACTAGCGATGGCTTGAAAAGTGATGAGTCGCCACAAACTACACTCAGAAGTTAGCGCAGAGTTAATAATAAAAAGACAAGAACCATTTTTGATAAACCCAACCCAAATCAACGATGGGATAAAGATAAACAAATACGTTCACATGATCGCTCGGCAACAGGTGAGTAGGGCACCTCTCATTGGTGGATTCGATATCGATCGCTTGATCCTTCGTCACTACCCTAGCCTCAAAACCAATACATGGTGAAACCGACCGACGAGCATAATTGTGTTTGCATCTATAATATATTTGCTTCTGATGAGCTGTATTATCCGCCTAGCGAAAAAATGCAAGAGGAAAAACGGTAAGGCGTGCCGCGGAAATCGGTGGGTTGTCGGTATTGTCTGAGAAACTCGCTGTCAAATCCTAAAAGTTGATGATTTGCTCCTGTGAGGTATTCAATACCTACCACTTATAAGCCTTGGATCGGCATTAACCATTCATGTATCGATGACCACACAGTAATGTGGCACCAACACAGCTTGAAAGCTATGCATGTTTCAGCCTTTGGAATACTGCAATAGTATTTATTGATTAGAATAAAAAATTATGTAATAAGTGGATATGTTGCATAAAAAATGCTTTTCATATGTTCAGTAATGTTTTCCATGAATATATTGTGAATATAGTGTCATTAGTTGATTTAATAGTTTTGTATCCATGCTTCGACTGTTCAGCTCGAATGCGCTTACAAAATATCTACTGCAGATTTGTTTGTAACTTGCATACATTAAGCAATATATCTAGTACGTTCAAACTTTTACAATGACCCAATTATCTCTAATTTCAATATTTTTAATTAATATCACTAAATCGTTTATTACTTACTAAGAATCCCGTATATTTAGTAAAAAAGCTAATCGGTAGGTGGAGCATACATAATATTAATGTAAGATATGGAAACCATCTTACAATACCTATGTATGGATATAGATGTTTCACAAATAATTCAGTGCCCCCTTTGAGTATAGCAGGAATATTGATATTTTAAATAGAACTAGCACTTGTTTCAAACTTCATCTCAGACGTCATCTCCAAGAGATACAGCATCGGATCAACCCTTCTAAATCATGTGATCCATACGATTCGTTACGATTCTTTTTTAAAGACTCGTAGACATACAATCATATACCATAATAAGTAAGAATGTTGTATTTATATCTCAAATTAGCAGCAAGTTTTAGTATTAGGAATGGACGAGCGCTAGAATAGCTTCAAGCTCTGCAAATAAAGCAGTTATTATTGATCTAAATGCACAATGAAATGAAAATATTATTTCTTATTATTATTTTATTACCCGTCCAAATTTATTTGCCTTGCATTTGCAAAAATAATCTACAATCTACCCTACCTTTCTATCTGGTCCTCATACATCATCTCTGCATGCTTCAATTCGTGTAACTCCAGCTGCTCCTCAGTTTCAAAGCTGTAGTCGCACCTTTGACATGGGAATGGCAGACCCGCAAGGTGAGTGGTGATATGTTCTTTGACTTGAGCGGCTGTTTCGAACTCTGTATTGCAGATCACGCAGCGAAGGTTCACCATTGAATGAATGGCACTGTGATTAATAAGGTAATCTTTACGTCTGAAAATAAGTAATAGTTAAGCCAGGGTATCCACAGGTCGGAGATCTCGAGAAAAATGAGCAAATTAGTATTTTGGACAGAAAAATGGGTAAAAAATACGTAGTTTGGAAAATTTCTCTGCTCGTGTCATTGATATGGATAAAAACCCGCCCATCGGTTTGTTGCTGGTAATTAAAAATTGAAGAGTGTGGGAAGAGGGGGAGGTGCTTAACTTGAGCAGCGCTGCTAAAGGCGACTGTCGGCAATTGAAATGCTGGTATGCTTATACAGCACTCTTGAAAGCGAATGACTTTATCACAATTGGAGAGGGAGCGAGGTGCTTCCAACTCACAATATACACTCTGGTCGGTGTATACAGTATATTCAGATAAGAGATAGACCGGACATAAACAAGACCACGTGATCATCGAACGCTGTAACATTCGGCAGGGACGTATTAAGAGTCACGCAGTACATATTTTAGATAGTAGATGCTGCTTTGCGTAACTTTGTAGTAAATTAGCACAATTCGATGTGTATACGATTGGTGATGGATATAGGATCATGTGGGGGTGGGGTAAGAAATATATAATGATGTAAATATACATAAGGGTTTAAAAATTTTCGCTTCGATTTCCAGCTTCGGATGCCGCCTGATGTTTGGTGAAATACAGTCGAATATAATGTCAAAATGGCGTTTAAATTAGCCTAAATTAAAAATAATCGTATATCTCTTAAAATTGCTTTTAGAATATTGATTAGTATATTTTTTGATTTCTAGGTAAATATGTAACCAAATTAAAATGTTCAAAACGTAAAAAATGTGCATGGTTGAACATTGTCAGAAAGTAGATTCTTGAATAGGTTTTGCCAAAATGGGTTCAAAAATGTCAATAATTAATTAAAAAATACAGTAGCTTTATAATTACTTATAACTTACCGAATTTGATGAACGACATCTTTTATTGGAAAGATGAGCTTGATGAGCTTTCATCATCGCTACTGCCTGAAGCACCAACGTCAATAATGAATGACTCGACTTGTTCCTCTAAAATATTGTCCAGTTCCCACATTCTCTTTTCAACTTTGTCTTTCACGTGCTTAATACAGTTTTCCCATTTTTGCGCTGTTATTAATTCTAGTGCTTCTTTGAAAAGTCCTTTGAGGTCACAAAATTTAAAAGTTGTATTGTGCTTAGCTATATAATTTTTGATATTCCGCCTTGTGATCCTTGACAATTCTTAATAATCAAATTTGTTATTTTTCGAGCGGAGCCAATTTTGAACATCAACTTTCCTTGAAGCCGTTGTTGGGACCTTCTCCATTCTTCGAGAATGATAAGGCGCATTATCCAACACAATTACTGCGTTTTCCTCTAAGTTCGGTAAAATTTTTGAAAACCACTGTTCAAACGATTCGCCATTCATTTCCTCGTGGTAATCTCCAGTTTTCTTAGACTCAAAGCACCACAGACCGTCAACAACAAATCCATCCTCACTGCCAATATGGCAGATAATGAGCCTTTTCCCTTTACCTGGAAATCGAAGTACTAACTGGTGTAGATTTATTTCAATAAGCGAACCTTTTTCAAATGTTTTCATCACATTCAGCGAAAAAACATTGAGACATGAGTATCAGATTGCTGTAATTGGGATTATTTAGTCATAATGAAAGAAAGAATATTGAACGTCGTATGATTACTCAGCGCTTCACAATTTAATTTAAAGTTATAAACCTTTAAAAAATGAATGATCAGGTACCTGAAATACGCGCAAATATTAATATTAACAAATTATAACTTTATAAAGCTTAAAGTATGAATTAAAATGATTAGAAATATTAGGAACGGTACACAATATAAAACTTAGTAACTTTTTTTAAGTTTATAATATTCGACATATTTTAAGATTATATTAAAAAATTATTGAAATATCGAAAACACATAAAAACATGGCTTAAAAAAGTTCTAACAAATGAAAATGACAATAAAACATCCACGCATTTTATCCAAAGTTATAAAAGTTTTGTTACTTGTAATATGTTTTATCTGCCCCCTGGAATTAATGTTTAGAACCTTGTTCCCAAGGTTTGAAAAACATCCGATTGTTGTCTATTACTCGTATTTACCTGCTGGATTTTTTAATCCGGTGGACAGTCCAGCTAGAAAGGCCCTCCTGGATGAAGTTACAGAATCATCAACCCATACTTTACTTGTAGTGTGTCCTGCGTTTACCCACGTTTCATCAAGGTAATAAATTTTCCTGTTTTGATTTCTATATTTCCCAATTTTTGTTGAATAATCCCTCCTCCATAGCACAATTTCTTCTCTATCCAGTAGTAAACTATTACGACCCCGTTTTTTTCATTTGAAATTTAAATGCTTCAGTAACGCATGGAAAGTTGATCGTTTGAAATTTGGCAACGTTGTATCTCCATTTACCTCCTGCAGTACTTTATCTATAGTAGGTATTTCATTCCTAAAGAAGAATTCATGCACTTTCCTCCTAATCGCATGCTTATCAGCTTCATCCAATGATTTAACAATACTTTTGCGATGTTTACTGGTCATTTTCTCAGAAAAGGTGTGATTTTTTTTGTATTGTCTTAACACATTAAACACTGATGCGCGACACACCCCAACTTTGTGAGAAACCTTCACAACAATTTCTTTGATGGTTGATGCCTCGTTCTCCTCGCGCTCGATCTTATATATATTCAAAATGACCTCTTTCATTTCTGCACTCAGGTGTCTTTTTTTAGAGCGTTTCCTAGGTGGACTACAGGAGTTTACAACTTCATCGGCAGTATCTGTACTACTGGGCATTTTGCGCAAGCAGTTGATAATAACAATCAATAACAAAGTATAACAATAACAACGACAAACTCAACAACTTAATAAGATAACAAACGAAAACGTCCAAAGAAATATCAAATTGCAATGATGCACACGACATACGTAACACGTCTGAACCTGAATGTGACTCTGCCTTGATACGACTGCTCTGCCGCTCGGCATAGGCATTTAATTGCGAATTGACCAATGAGGGCTCCTGTTTTACGTCGAGACGGCGGCGTTAGCGTGAAAATCACCCGAACCTTTTGTTTACATCCGGTCTATCTCTTATCTGAATATACTGTAGATGGTTCTTGTATGGAAAAAATCATTAAAATTAGGGCATTGGGTTCAATTTATCACCATTGAAAAACATATTTCTTCAAAAGATACCCAATCCAACAGAGTATAAAACTGTGCCTGCCCGAAAATGGGTATAACATATGTACCGTGGCGACGACAAGCACTTATTGTTGCGCATATATACGAGTCGAACACCGGCTTAGGGCGCTAGTGTTGAAATTTCTCAGACTGTTGCTGCAGGTTATAGGATTTCCTTTTCCATTGTTGATGAATTTGGAGAATATGAAATCTCAGGAATAATCACAAGGGATGGGTGATCTTTCCTTCAAAGGTTAGAGTCTGTTTTTATTACCCCTAAGGGAATTACTGCAATCCTACTTCACAACATGACTGCGAATATGGAAATTGTATGTAAACGTCCAAATACAGCATAGGGTTAGACATCTTGGAAAATCCATTCATCAGTGTTATTACATGACAAAAACATTAAGAATCAAGAAAACCTTGGTTTCATTTTCAATAAAAAAAAATCTCCAATTGTGCACTGTTTTTTTAACCCAGCTCACCACTCGAACAATTTCGCAGTAGCTAGTTCTAACAGCAAGAAGCGCAAGAATACAATCTACTTCTGAGTAATATGGAAAATAAGGAAACATGTGGAAAGCGACTTACTTGACATGAGAAAAGACGACATAGTTCTGAGATTTGCAATCAAAAAGAACTTCGAGACCAGATTAGGAGATCAAACAGAACACTAAAGTCACAAACTGCAAGGGTAAACTACTTGAAACACGCGGTTCAAAGACCAAACAGGTATATAGGGGAACAGTTGTAACCCTGGACACAGACCACTTTGTATTTCAGGCAGAAGTGTAAGCATTGCACAAGTGTAAATATTGAGGGAGCATACAAAAATAAAACGATCGCGATATACACTGAGAGGCTAAGCGTTAAAAAGTCCTAGAGTGTCATTAGCACTGATTTGGGAATGCCAACAAGAACTGAACCCACTGGCGGAACACAACAGGATGATATACAAGTCGTGACAAAAAATGAGACATCATACATAGGACCGCATTTTAAGGAGGTTCTTCTATGTAACATTTTTCCTCGAAAGCTCGAAAGATACAGGGTGCTGAAGTTTAAGATTTTTTTTAGTATCTTCAAAACCGTCAACTGGAACGAGCTAAAATTTGGTATGTAAATTTACCTAAGTATTGTTCACATTCAAAGGACTTTACTTAAAATAAATGTGCACCAGTGGCGGAGATACAGGGGATTAGTTTTCCTCGAATCGTGCAATTTTTTGAATTTTGCTACAAATAATTACTCTTGTGTTTTTTCGTAGAGTGCATTATTTTAGTAAAAAACAAATTAGATAATCGAAGCTTTATTTCAATAAATGTTCAAAAAGAACGTATTTTCGCGAAATTTGTTGTGGCTTGAATTTGATGAAACGCATTATCTATCCTTTCTAGTAACTGAACAACAGTATTAATTTGTTCAGCATACACTAGTTGTTCAAAAGCGCCCCCCAAAAATAAATCCAGGGGGAATCAGGAGACCTAGCAGGCCAATGTACGGGTCTGTTTCTGCCAATCCATCGTTGTCTAAGATGATTATTTAACGGAACCTCATTTAACACATTTTCTATGTAATTCTCTAGATCATTTTCTCTTTGGGCTTGAAGTACCTCAGCAGGTTGCTATAACCGGCTGCGTGGTTGTGGTTAGATGTCTCCTTGAAAATTCGAGGTCTTCTAGCCATTTTATACTACAATGTTGTAGTTTCAAATGTGCATTCATTTCAGGCGTGATGAAGCCAACCAGCAGAAATACGCATCGCTCGGGTTACCTATCCTATTTTCTGTTCGAATCCACTTTCCTCCTTTTTGCGGATTTCGCCCAATATTTTCCTACTTTCTGTTATACAGGGTTATCCAAATTAAGTGTCCACCATTAGTAACTTTGTTATTAGTGAAAATACAAAGTTGTTTGAATTAGCAAACTAGTAGCATTTTTAACGCTGGTAAAAATGAGAAATAAAAAAAACAATTGAGAGTCGTTATTTTGATTTTTTTCAGTAAAATAACATTTTTTTAAATGGAAACCCCTGTATATTATATTTTTTCTGTTAAAGCATCAAATTTTAAACAAAAAAGCTTACAATAACTTTTCTCCTAGGTTACAAATTGTTGAAGTTATGGCCTCCAATCTGAAACAATTAAATTGTATCGACAAACTTTATTTTCAACATCAACTTATAATCTTACAAAATACAATAACAATTTTTTTTAAAGAAGATGCTCGAAAACACCACCTTGTTCTTCAATACATTTTTGGGCACGTTTTTCAACTGCTCGAACTGTCTTAAGTATGGTCCTACCATCTATCTGGGTTATCTTTTCCCTAACTGCAGTCTTTAACGCGTCAAGGTTATCGTACCTTCGCTTGTAAATTTGGTTCTTTAAGTAACCCCACAAGAAGTAATCAAGTGGGTTTAGATCTGGTGATCTGGGAGGCCACTGTATTGGGCCATTTGTTCCTATCCACTGATCATTAAAAGTAGTACTTAGAAAATGATAAGTACCTCTGGAGTTGTGGGCAGGTGCGCCATCTTGCTGAAAATGCAGATGATGTCTACTTATAAGATCCAATTCGTCTAAGAAATTAGTCAGAATTTCTGACATAAATTCCACATATCTTTCACCAGTTAGGGTTCCCTCATAAAAGAACGGGCCAACAATTTTTGAACCAATTATACCGCACCAAACGTTGAAACTGAAACGGACTTGTGGGCCTCTTGGATGTACTAACAAAAGATTTTCTCTTGACCAATAATGGTGGTTTTTTCTATTAAACATTCCAGAATTTGAAAAATTTGATTCATCTGTCCATAAAAGGTAACGAAAGTTATTTACATTTTGGCGACAGAAGCTAAGATACCAATGGCAAAAAACAAGTCTTCTCTCTGGATCCCCTGCCAAAAGCGTTTGAACTGGTCGGTACTTATACGGAATAAATTTGTATTTTTTTAAAATCCTTTGAACAGTACCATAACTGAAATTAGAGTCCTTGAGAATATCTGCTATTGAATTCTCACGATAAGCTTCAAAATATCCAATAACTGCAATTTCCGTGGCCTCCTATTATGAATTCTTTTTTTGCCCTTGTTTTAGCAAAAACATTTTCGTTGCCCCTAAATTTTCGATAAAGTCTCAGAAAATATCATTCATACGGTTGAATGCGAGCGGGATATAATTCACTGCTCTCAAGGAGGATTTTCTGCACACTAAATAGCATTCTAACATATCACACTTTTCTTCATGGGAGAACATTTTTCTTTAAATTAATGACACAATAAAGCTTATAAACAAGTATTTACACTAATGTTTGACATTATTTGATTTTATCATTGTTTTCCAAAGCCTTCTAGTTGCGAGTATGTCCAGTTTAACAATTTGTCGCTTATCTTAATGCTGTCAAATCGCGAACGCCATGTTGTTTTCATAGCCGTCTTAATATTATAATACTGCAAATAATTAAAAATATTTATCGTTATTTTGACTTTATTTTTGACTTTAGCGGAAAAGTCATTATGAACTTTTTTGTTTAAAATTTGATGCTTTAACAGAAAAAAAAATAATATACAGGGGTTTCCATTTAAAAAAATGTTATTTTACTGAAAAAAATCAAAATTACGACTCTCAATTGTTTTTTTTATTTCTCATTTTTACCAGCGTTAAAAATGCTACTAGTTTGCTAATTCAAACAACTTTGTATTCTCACTAATAACAAAGTTACTAATGGTGGACACTTAATTTGGATAACCCTGTATATAACAAAAAAAAAGAAATCTCGGAGGATTTTTCAATAGTTGATATTTTATTAAGTTCTTCCAAATCAATCAGTGTTTAAAGGAATTTTCAAAATTAAAAAAAACATAGCTATGATTTGCCATTTATTAATAATAAAATAATTCCGTCCTAATCGAACCTCATCGGTCCAGTTTTTTGTTCGTCGACTATGTGTTCCCTTTCAATGTCGTTTACGAACAATTTCAGCGACAATCTCGCCGACTTACTCCAGACTATGATGACATAGACCATCGAAAGCTCGAGTTCAAGTTATAAGAGTGTGCTTATGCAATACTTTGCCTTCTACCCAAAGAAATTCAAGGATATTTTTTTCTCCTAACAGTTAAGACAATTAACTATGAATAATATATATATAGTAGAGCTTATATGTATATATATATATATAAGCTCACATATCCATGAGGCTAGATCACAAGAGGCAACAACACCAAAAAAAATAAGAACAAAAAATTTTAATTTGATATCGATAAAATTGTATCCACATACCTGAATGACATACTGCACAAGTCACACTTGTAAGTATTGACAACATTGTCCGGCTTGGCAGACTTTACTGCAAAGTGAACGCGCATATGCCTAGACACATGATGACTTTGCACAAACGTTCTATTGCATATCTTGCACGCGTACGGCCGCAATCCTTCGTGTTGGGTGATATGGCGGGCCAAAGCTATGCTGGTACGGAATGAAGAGTCACAGTAGTTGCATCTGTGCGAATTGTTGGCTGCATGAGTGAGATTGTGGCGTTCCAAACCCTATAATCAAAATTAAGTGACGACCGCTTTGCCGAGACTGATTACTAAAAAAAAAGGTTAAGAGGCGAGACGCCCAAGTCTGCAATTTTTTCAATTATCTTATACAAATTGCCGAATTGATAAAATTACCTTGCTATATGAATCCTGGAGACGTACGCCCTCTCCCCCTCACTACCAACAGTAATTTAGTAGAACTAAGAATAAATCGATCTTGCTCTTAAAGGAATTAGTGTGCCTCCCCTAGACGCTAAGTCTTATAAATACTATACTATAAAATGTTACATAATGAACGTGATGTTCACAACCATAACCATCCTAGACATATCCCATCCACTTCTTTTCAGTCTAGAGCTATATTAAACAATAAAAAAGGAAAAATAGTCCTAAGGCAACAGGTTTTAGCATTTTCCTTTCAAAATTTTTAATAACTGGATATTCAACCATGACAAGTTGACCTTGAAGCACACAATACACGACAAAAAAATGAAAATCATTTGCTTACCTGCCTAAAGACAAAGCTTTTGTTGCAAATATCGCATGTAAATGGTCTCTGCTTCATGTGTCTTTTCAAATGTGCATCCAAAGTCTCTTGACTCATAAACTCTTTGTCACATCTGACACAACTCAGCTGTGGATTGAGAAATATGTATTTGTCATTGATTATTCTGAGAATTTAAATATAAAACTACTTCGAAAATCAATCTAATTGACTGAAAAAACACAGAGGCAAACAACTTTTTAAACATAATGCTATGAACATGGTGACCTTGCTATAAATTAAACTCCCCTATAACTTTTTTGTATGACTGATCAACAAAAAGTTTTATACAAAGCATATAGAATCAACATAAAAGTTTTTCATGCAGTGTATTTCATGTAACAGGGTGTCTCAGAAAAGAGCTATCAAATGAAGTTTCTTATTTTAAATAGAATATTTTGGTAAGAATTAGAGTTACTCCTTTTCTGATTCTAAACATATGTCTGTTATACTTATTTTCATTTCCTCAGACATAAACTTGAATTATATGTGTCATATGCAGTCTAGTATAATCCAAGTTTTCAACTGTAACTGATATGAGGAGTTCAGGTAAATATTTTAAAATGGGGGCTCTTCCTGTTGTACTGGAAGTAGATACCAAATTGATATTTCAACATCAACAAAGCTTCTAGTCCGGACCTGATTCCTAGCATTGTACTGAAGTGGTATGCAGAGGACCTTGCTCCAGTTCTTTCGCGTCTTTTCCAGATATCTTATGAATCCGGCACCTTTTCAGAAAACTGAAAATTTGCTCATGTCCAGCTCATAAAAAAAGGATCTAATACCGACCCTTACAACTAGAGGCCTATAACTCTGCTTTCTGTTATAAGTAAGGTGATGGAGAGGTGCATAAATCGCGAGCTTCTGGATTACCTCAAACGTCACGGCTTGATTAGCGACAGGCTGTATGGTTTCCGGCACCAGCGATCCACAGGGGAACTCCTAGTTTACGTCACGCAATTGTAGAGTAAACTCATCCAGTCTTATGGTAAGGCTCATATCGTTGCTCTTTATATCACGAAAGCGTTCGATCAGCTGCAACACGCTGCCCTCTCATGCAAACTTCCATCATATGACCTCCCAGAAAAGATTTTCAGATGGGTGGCTAACTTTCTCTCTGGCCGCAAGATATCCGTCGTTATGGATGGGCTCGCCTCTTCATCCCACAACGTCAACGCGGGTTTTCCCCAGTGCTCGCCCTTGGGTCCGACACTGTACCTCTTACATATCAACGACCTCCTTTCCTGTACGATCAATCCAATCCACAGCTTTCCTGGTGACAGCACTCCACATGCAGAAATTCAGAGTGACAAGCCGATCTCTGCTGCTGAGCTGGAAAAAAGAAGACTAGCGACGACTTCCTCTCTGACAAGAGACCTCACTGCTTGGGGACGCAACAATCTTGTACAGTTTAATGCTTCCAAAACACAGTACTGTACCTTGGGGAACAAAAAACGTCGTTCACTTCGGCTGGTCGGAGTCCAGATCACCGAGGACTTAATCTGGCACGAGCACATCTCGTCAATAGCGGCAGCTGCTGGGAAAAAGCAAGGCTATTTGTTTAGAGCTAAGAAGTACCGATAGACCTCACTCTATACAAGGCCTAGCCTCGAGTATTGTTCACACGAATGGGGTGCTGCCGCCCCGACAACATTATTTATGCTCGATGCTATCCAAAGGAGGACTGTCCGACTGATCGACGACTCTTCTCTAACAGACAGTCTCGGAACCCTTTGGCACCGGTGGGCCATCGGCGATCTAGCTCTCTTCTACCGCTACACCAACGGGCTTTGCTCCTAAGAGCTCTCTTCCATGACACCGCCGCGCGATGTGCCTGACAGACAGACCAGCCTGACTTTGGCCTCCCATCCTAACCGTGTCGAACTTCGTACATCCAGAACTGGCCGATACGACCGCTCCTTTGTCCCAAGGGTGCCGAGATTGTGGAACAATCTACAAGAGGAAGCTTTTCCCAGTTCTCCTAGTTCTACTAATCACAGACAGTTCAAAAATCGGTTTAACAAAATTTCTTTGGGGTCCTCATAGCAGCAGCGGTGTCCCGGCATTTAGGCTTCTGCCTGCGCGGCTGCATAGGTATAAAAAAAATAGTATGGAATTTATAGGGTATATTATTCAAATTTTTGCATTCATCGCAAGATTTCAAATATATTAAATGCACAGCATCCTATAGCTAACTCTAGTCGTGTTTGAGGAATATCAAATTTTGTGTAAAAAATCACAAATGCAGATATCCATAAGCCTATTAATTTTTCATATATTTTTGTCCATGTCGAACGATTTGTAACTGATCCCTTATAAAAGGGGGTATAATTTCATTCGATATTTCAGTAATAAACGGGTGAAAATTGAATTGAAAAAGGCCAAGAGTCATTTTTTTCAAAAGAAAACCAACTGCTTTTATAATCTGAAGCAATAAAAATAAAGTTTTATATACTGTGCAAATAAGTAGTTCACATTATCGGAATCGTGAACCATTTAAAAAAATAATTTTAAATAGATTGTTCTTAGCAAGACTTTCTCCACAAATAATAAACAATATGTTTAATAATATCCGTGTTTGTTATTTGATTGAAGCATATGGGACAACTTATAAAACATTTTAAGGCAGCACTAGGGCAATATGTAATTAGTAACATATGCGCACATGCAGCACTGCATTATTATTCTATCCTTATCCATGTGTTTGAAATTTAATTAAACATAGACGCGATAACCTATTAAGCAACACCTTTCTGAGAACAAAAAAGACATTGCATGAAAACCTTTATGATGTAAGACCCAATAGTTTTTATAAAAAAATCTTATTTTCTAAACGATCATACAAAAAGTTTGAGATGGTTGTTCATAGTGGGACACCCTTTGCGATAATATCAGTCTGGAACCAGTCTGAAAGATGCTTGTTTTACAAGTTGCTATAGGCAAACTGTAGGTTTCAAAAGCTGTTGAACTATTCAGTTTTCCAAACCATTCATTATGCAAGTCTCATTACCTGATTTGGTATGTCCATTTTTGTTGTTGGCACCTCACCAGATTCAGTCTCATCTATGCTGTTGTCTGAAAACGAATCAATTTAATTCATGCATTTCAGTTGAATGTAAAATGAACTGCATATCCAACTAATCATTAGCCTCACATCTACTAAAATTAAATATACAGTCTAGAAGTACAGTACTGAAGTGAAATTTATTGATAATGTAAAAAAGCTCATAGGTATAAAGTTTACAGTACACCAAAATAAGAATAATACGTAGTGAACATGTACAAATGATAAAATGTCACTGACCTGCTTCCTGTTCCACATCATCTCCAAGTCCAAAGATACCTTCACTTTCATGCTGTCCTTCTTCAACCAATTGTAAGTTTTCATCTTCTGTGACATCTACAGTTATCACCTCACCAGCTTCCATCTTTATTTGTTTGATTGTCCTTATTTTTGGCTGTGGTGGAGGTTCCTTTGGAGTTTCCACATAAGGGTGCTGACCTATGAGTATTGGCTGGGGTTCAGGAGGAAGCATCAACTGAAAATTAGTTCAAATATGTCATGCTCCAAGATAAGCACAAAGAGAGATCTCTTAGCCCATCAACTTTTTTCAATCCAATAACATTTGGTAAAGGCAGGGATAGTTTATCTAATTTAATGTAATTACTAATGGTCTCACCAAGTCCCTGTTTGAAGATTTTACTGTATGATGCTCTCTATAAACTTAGCACTTAAAATATGAGTCAAACAGTGGTCTCAAAAAATATACACAATCAATCCCTATCACTTAACACACTGAATATCAGACTAGGAAACTGAAGGATATAAGTATTTCATTAATTTTTAGTGCATAATTTAATACAGAACTCATGACTGACAGCACAAAATAATGCGTTAAAAGTAGGTATGTAGTGTCAGTCCTGTCGACTGACATAGCATCATTTAAACACTTTAGCAAAAATCACCAGTGGCTGACACAGCAGCCAATATGTTAAGGCTTATTAAACTCATGGTTATGTTTAAGCATATATGGACCACTCAAAATTTCTCAAAAATTCAGCAAGCCTCCACTGTATTATAACAAGTCTACACAGTATTATTACCTGCTCGACCCTCTGCAGATATGGTTTCGATAACTGTCCAGTAGCAAGGAAAAGCTTAAGAGCTTCATCAGCTTTCTTGCAATTGGTCTTGAATATGTATGCCTGTTGGGTAAGATTCCTACAGGTATTACAAATTAGTTGAGGCATTCCATCATTCTTGAAAACCTGAAATAATGATACAGCACATACAGAATAGGGGGAAACAACTTTCTGAAGATTGTTTTGCTCTCCACAGTCTCAATTAGAAAGTAAAATTCTTTTACACATTTGTTAAGGAGTCTCTAAATGAACATTCTTGTTACAATATTTGGATATCACTATGGCAGCTATAGCCCAGCGATAATAAACATATAGCACCATATCTTGGCAATGTATCGACACATAGGTACACATATTAAAATTTATCATTAAAAGGACTAAAAAATTAGGCATGAACAGCTGATTGTAGTACATGTGTTGTGGTCCACATGGCAAGAAGTAGGATTCCAATGCTTCAGCAATACAAGAATATATATCACAAGTATCAAAAATGTCTAGCTTATACCCGATTTCACCAGTATCCATCATGCTTTGATGTCTACTGAGGTGAACAGCTGATCCGCAAGTCACATTTTTATGTTACTCTACAACGTTGGCAATAATGAATCAGGTGTAAATCTAGTAAAACTTGTTTGTAGCATTCTGTTTTTTGTATGCAAATGAACTTTTCTAAATAAAAGAGCTTCTAACAAGTACAAAATGAATCTATAGCATACAAAAAAGCAAAACAAAATTATGGCTGTCTACCTGGCATTGACAGATCCGTCAGAATTATGTGTCCTTTGCCAATGTGGGATATTTTTAAATACTACTTGATAATCAGCTGTAATTCTAACGTAATGGATTTTTGTGAAAAAGAGTACTTATGTAGCCAGACCATACTAAAAATATTGCCATATGTTGCTGGCTTGTCTATTGCAGCTAGATAATGCAGAACTAAATATTGACTATTTAGAAACCTTATTAGCCAAGCTCTGAATCTTCTTTTACAAATGCCTATAATTTTGGGGTGTCAATAAGGCAACTACATTTATCTTTTTCTGGGGTTCCTTCAATCCTAGGCCCCTGCATTATTTAGAAAATGAAACACCAAAAAAGGATGTGTAGTAGGGTTGGTATGTACTTTTTTTATCTTTATTGATTGGTATGTATTAGGGGGACCTCGAAAAAATGAAAATGAATCAAGGAAGTGTATTTGTTGATCAGTATGAAGGTTATTTTTTCAGTTATTTTTGTTAATCTATCTGGTTTTAGCAAATAATAATTATGGTTATGGAAAATGTAAATATGTCTCTTTTAATGAAAATTGTTGTGGGAATATCAGCATATTTATTAGGTTATTGATTTGTTTTCTATTCAGTTCAATCTAAGAAAACATTTTCAAATTGTAATATTCATATTTCATTTTTTTGTTTGACTACCAAGCAGGAAACTACAAGTTATACATCCGGCAGATACCTAATTCTGAAGTTTTGTAGCAAACTGCAGTAACGTACTCGAACAAATTACAGTTTACTCACCTCTATCGTCATACATGCCATAATCTGTATGGGCAATGGTATAGAATGCTTACTTTCCGACGGATGTTTGTCATGAATACTGCTCAACTGATTCACTTTATCGCTTAAACAGAACCGGCAGACTTTCATTTCCCTCAAAATATTAGCGCGATCTTCCGTCGAGTCCATTTTGGTAGGAATTTTCAAGGAAAATCAAAAATTTAGAAAGCTACAGCAACGCCAATAAAAATGGTGGTCGCTTCGTTCTTCGTTGTTCGTTTCTCGAATGCGTTGCGGCGCCGGCGTATGCGTTGGCTTAAGCTTCGCTATTTGTCTACAGATGGCGCTCGTGATTGATTCGTCGAAATGGTGATGGGTATTGATGAGAATCTATAATCCATATTCAGTATTCGCAAATATGGACTAAAAAACAAAAATGGAAACATTACCAAACTTTGTCTTGTACGAGCCTTCCCACTTTAGTTGGCCCACTTCAAAATTTGTACCAAAATATGCCTTTATAAACTAAACATGACGAAACTATTTACTTCTAAGACAATTTATTTTCTCAAAAACATTTTAGATACACTCTAGTCGTAAAAATACATATTTGAAATCACTTAGACTTATAACTAATAGAACATCTGAACAAATAAACAATGTGCGAATAAATGTGCGAAGTTAACAGAGCAACAATTGAAAGATTACCATTGGGTAACATCACCTTTATTTTCTATTACGGCTGAAATTCTTTGCGGCATAGTGTTAACCAACAATCCCATATTTTTTGAAGCTTTTGTCTTAGTTCGGTGATTGTACGAGCAGGATGTTGTCGTAGAACCGTTTTCATCTCGTGCCACAAAGTTTCATTGAGTGACAGATCTGGACTGCTAGAAATCCATTTCAAAAGTGGTACATTATTTTTTCCATCCATTTTATAGCCTTTTTTGAGATATGGCACGCTGCACCATCTTGCTGAAACACAAAATCTTGGCCAGATGTCAAACATTCTTCCATCACTGGTAAAAGCGATTCTTCTAAAATTGCCAAATATTTGTTTGTATCCACATTTCCATCAATAAAATGAAGTTTTCCTACTCCTTTTGATGACATACTGCCCCAGACCATAATGGATGCTGGAAATTTCACTTTTCTCTTCAGACAGTCAACATGGAACGCTTCATTTTTTGCGAATAACTCTACTGCGACTGTCACCAACACAAACTTCGTATCGGGCCTCATCACTCCATTGTATTGCACACCATTGTTGAGGTGTCCATTGTCTATGTTCTTTAGCCCATCTAAGCCGATTTTTCTTTTGCAGTGGAGTTAATAGTGGCTTTTCTTTGGCCTATAAATAAGTTGTGCAACTTTAGGGTTTCTACTTAACTTTTTTCCCAGTTTCTGAGCCTCTCTATGAGTTGTAGACCTCGAAATTCTCCTTCCAACAGCGTCACTCCACAGAGCACTTAATTGTAAATAATTGCCACCCCTGTTTTTCACGATTATTCTTCTTAATGCTCTTCGGTCGGCATTTGTGAAATTACTTTTTTTCACATATCGTGGCTTAATATTAATTGAACCAGTTACGTTATATCTTCTAACAATATTTCTCACACTGTACCGCTTTAAGTCTAACAAAGTTGCAATTTCTGAGTTTGATTTCCCAGAATTAAAAAATTTAATTATCAGTAACCGAGTTTTCTCACTAATAACCTTTCCTCTACCCATTTTGAGAACCTTAACTACCCAAAACTATTTTAAACGTATTCTGACATCTGTGATTAATAAAAACAATTGTCATGGCTTTTATTTTTCACAGCCATCTATGCGTTATAGGCTTATTTTGCATTGAAATGAAAATAGGTTGATATACTGTAATTGCAACATGTGTTATTTTTATGCTGCAAATTTGATTAGGTGATAAAGTTGATGTTTTCTACTATATATTATCAAAATATTCATTGTTAATATTTTAAACCTATAACATCCTGCTACGTTTTTATTATTTGTGTTTGATAAGAAAAAAACTAAGATTTCTATAGTTGGGCCAACTGACGTGGGAAGGGGCTCGTATATTATATTTCTAATATTTGGTGGTTTGGATGCATTCGGACTTGAGAAAGATACAACTCTCGCCCAAATATTAAAGAGTTTAAGGATATTGAGACTGGAAGTATCTATTTTTGGACGTTACAGGCAAATCTTACGACGTTTTAAATTTTTGTGCACCAATAGTTTTTTTCACGGTTTTTCACACAAGTAAACAGATTTACTAATTGTACCTGAAGTAGAGAGATTAACTTCCCTATGGAATGAAATAATTTGCACACTACACAAGTCGATCCTTAATGCAGCTGCTGCTCACTTTTGCACAGATGAATTGGATGGCAGAGGACCGTTGTTTTCATCCACTTTTCCAAAATACTGCAATAAATCTGATATAGCCATATTGTAGCTGTATACTATACTCAAGATCAACTAAAAGTAAACTCGCTCATTCATACCAAACAGGTGGTCGTACTGACAATGGGAAGCAATAAATATGGAAGACTCATATACGTTGACCAGAAAATGTTGAACGCGGTGACACAAAATAAAAAAAAACAAACTTGCCAATTGAATATCTATATATGAGTGAGATGGATGTATGGAATTAATTTATATAGTTTACTACACCGCCAAAAACTGGTGTGGATATTAGATCTATATGGTTTTTCGGGTCTAGCAATTTTCCTACAGCTTCAAAACTACTTAAGAAGCTTGTTCACTTGTTTATGTACGTAATGCGAAAATAGATTTACATATATCGTGTTACCTACTTTAGTCCGTTTTCAAGTCTTCAAGCTTCTTTAGGAATCAATTTATTCGTTACAACGCGAGCGCATTGCACCCATCTCTAATTCTAGTGAATTTTTACCGAGGAGTTTGTGTTTGCTGCACTGCTGTTCCAGGTGTTACTGCGTTTGCGCCGATCGAATTTCTTAAACCCCTTATTTCATATTTGAAATCTTCAATATTTTCTACTATTAAAAATTTGTTCACATATTAAAGGAGATAATATTTCGCTTGTTCACCAACCGATTGATTGAATATTGATAAAATGGCAGAAGCTGAAGAAAAAATGGGAGAAACGATAAGAAGTGAAACCGAAACTGTGGAATCTTGCGAACACCTTGAAGAGGAAGATGAAACATTTTTCCAGGATATAGAACTCTTGTTAGACTGTGGAATACTTCAAGAAGATGTTAAACGATTGAAAGAAGCTGGTATCAACACTATTAAGGCTGTCCAAATGACTACACGTAAAAAATTATGTGAAATCAAAGGTATCCATGAAGAAAAAATAGACCGAATTAAAGCAGCTTGTTGTAAAATAGCTGCAAGCAATATATTCATAACTGGTTTGGAAGTATCCGATCAAAGAAAACAAGTGTTTAGATTATCTACTGGAAGTTGTAATTTGGAGTAAGTGGAATTCAATAAATATACGTATAGATATACTATTACCAACCTTTGACAGTAGGCAGTAGCAGCTCTAGGCACGTGCGACAGGGGGGTACTGAGGAAACGGTTGTATGTCATCACGGCCAAATAATATTTTTCCTGCTGGTTTGTTGGCGAGGATCACAAAAAAGCAAAAATATAAGCCCTTGGCTATTTCAACCTTCAGTATAGTCAGAAAATTATCCTACTGGTGATATTAACGTTTACAAAAGCGTTCAAAACCCCGATTTAATTTTCAAACTCCCAATCATTTTTTCACATTGAGGTAATATTTTTGAGTTTTTTCTATTCGTGGATTTTCTTTAGTGGCATCCAAGCAAATTTTGTAATTTTTTTTGTAATATCTCACTTTTGTTCATATTTTTATTATTTTTTGTGATCTCTATGAATGTCATTCAGACATACGAGGTCTGTAAATTAAGTGATGAGACTGGTTTTTTAAATTTTATTATTCGAATATAATTACAATTTTATATATTGTCACCCTCAAAATAACGTCCTTCTTAAGCTATACAGCGCAGGAGATGGTTCTTCTACTCCTCATACCATTGCTAGAACTTCGGTCAAAAAGTCACAATGACTCAAGTCAGGTAAATAAGGAAGCGAAGGAGCCACAGGAATGTTTTTTTCTGGTCACTCATTTATTGACATTACGACGTGACAAGAAGCATTATCCTGATGTAACACACGGTTGTTATTGATCTGATGAACGGTGGTGTGAGTCAAATATAAGTCTTCCCCTATCATTCTGACTTTTTATTGGTTCTTGAAGATGGAGGCCCCCCGCTTCGTGGTTCATCTTCAATCGACTCGCTCAATTCTGAAAATGCCTTAAACCGCCGACAAACCTGGGTACTTGACAAAACACTATCTCTGTACACTCGATGAGGCTTAACAAGAGTTTTCGTTGAACTGTACCCAAGTCTGAAGCAGAACCTGATAGCATACCGTTGCTCGAAATTGATGCTATTCATTTTTAGAGCAAAATAGGAAAAACTGTTTCACAAAAAAACGGACTACTTGTTCCCCTGTCTCCTTCCCAAGCCCGACGCCTTCAGTGTTGCCAGTTCGAACGCTACGTTGGCGGTCTCGTCACTTAATTTACAGATCTCGAATTTCGGTAGGCAACTGGACTAAAATATATAATGATTTTTTCACAGCCGATTGTTAGGAGGAGGGATCGAATCTATGTCCATCACAGAAGCGTTTGGAGAGTTTAGGACAGGAAAAACTCAGTTGTCGCATACATTATGTGTAACAGCTCAGATGCCTGGTGCAAACGGCTATCTTGGCGGAAAGGTCATGTTCATTGACACGGAACATACTTTGTATCCTTTGCGTATTGTGTAAATCATAGTATTTTATACAAAACCCCATCTTTTTGTAGCAGTATGAGCCAAAAATCTGAGAGTAAACTTGGCTACACCCATGTTGTATTTTGTGCCTGAATTTAAAAAGCTTTTTCCCAGTGTTTCAAACAAAATTTAACTGATCATGCCAGTCAAACAGGCCCCTACAATCAGTCCAATGACATTCTACCATACAGGTAGTTACAGTCTATCTGGCAACGTTGCCCCTTCCCATATCGCCATCACGCAGCAACGCCCAACAAAGTACCGCCAGTACTGCCACAGTACGAGCTGGGCAATCAAGCAGATCGTTACGCCGGACGCTGAGCCCATGTAGCAGAAGGAGACTCATATCGAAAATTAGTAATTAGTTTTAACGGCACACGTATGGGGAAACCTATGATATCTGTAATATGGCTAATAGGTGCGTAGAATTACCAGGCCTAGGAGCGTATAAATATACTAATATAAAAAACGAGATATCTAGATTGCTCGTTTTATGGCTTTTTCTCCGCGGCCACTTTACCGATTTTCTATAACAATAAAGCTTTTTCTTCCTTGGCATAGCAGGAACCGCTACAGACCGACATACAGACCGACAGACAAACCGTCAGATAAACCGACATCAGACACTCAGACCGACGGGAGTGAAAGACATGTTTTTTGTGATCTACATGCCATATAACAAAAAAACATCTCATTTTCGAAATTTTTCGCGATTTCAATACTTCCTCGCCAAGTGGAGTAGAATGTAAAAAAATATACAAAGTAGTACATTTCTTATTCCATAATTTATTATTTCAATATTTCCTGAATTTTATTTATATAGTCGGCCAGACAGGCTTCGTGCTATTGCTGATAGATTCAATTTGGATCAAACAGCTGTTTTGGAGAATATTTTATATGCCAGAGCGTACAACTCTGAACATCAGTTTGAACTGCTAGAGAGGTAAGGGTTTAATATTGTATTTGCTAAAACATAACCTGGGCAACTACAGTACATTTCACTAAGAACTACGGGAGGCCACAAAAAGCTCGTTTGTCTACATCAAATAGTGGACTATACAACATGTTTTGATGTTTTAAGGCTTTCAATGCATATAAATATGGTATCGATGAAAATTTAAAAATATTCTTGCTTATCTTCAATCTTGGGAAAAGTATGGTGTCATTTTTTCACGGAGACCGACAATAGACTCCAAATATCTAGTTTTCCTATTTCAACCAGAGCTTCACTAAACTTTTAGCATTTCTCTATGACCATATACAAAATCATTATCTTGTGTTGACCCAATTTTGAAAAAGTAAAGGTGTATCAGCATTGATTAACGAGTTCTACTTGAAGATAGCTAGCCAAATGCTATATTCGCCCATCCGAGGTGAACTGAAAACCATCACGTCCTAGAATTTGTCACAGATATCTCTCTTCGATCTGCGAAAATCACAGATCTACTTTGAAAAAGTTAATGTCTCCTAGACCAGCTTTTGAAAGTAGATATATGATTATCGCAGATAGGAGAGACATAACTGCATGGGCGCCCGCAGGGGGAGGCTAGGAAGTGCCGTGACTCCCCTGGGAACTCGGTTGGGCTTTAAAATTTACATATTTATTATGTATACGTATGTATCGAAGAAGGAGACTAAACCAAAACAGTGATCATCGCGTGATCATTGCGTGATCAGTACTCTGATATATTTCAAGAGAGAGGGAGCATAACTGTTATTAGGCAGAATAGGTCGAGCCCTTACACAAAACCAATGACAAACCAGAGGGTGGAGTGGGAGACGGCACGACCGTGCATGCAGACTGTCCCGGTGGCTGGTTGTACAGTGCAGAGTTCGCATCAGACTTGTACTGTGTGCTTATTAGATTTGTCAGTTTAATTTCGTAAAACTCAAAATGTCTGACACGGTCTGACAGCTGATGAAGTTGTTGATATAAGCTGCACACCGCCTAAAAAAAGAGCTAAAAGGCTTCATTTTAGCGTTAGTGAAAAACAAATAATTATCAACATTTATAAACACGAAATGCAAAGAAGGAGTGCATCAAGTGTTCAGGACATTATTTGCAAAGCTGACACCTACATATTTTTCAATACTTGTAAGACGAGGAATTTTAACTTAAATCATGTTTTACTTTTGTTTTTTTACATGCTTAAACTATATCGAGATAAGAATCAAGCAATAGCAAAGAATATTTAATTGATTCAATATTTTCAATTATTTCAACGTTTATCTTAACTGTGATAGTATTCTCATTAAGGTATTTCCCTATTAGCATACATTTTGTTTTAGAAGTATCTAATTTTTTGTTTATTTACATTTAAGCAATTTATGATTTTTGTCAAGTCAGAATTTAGCATTTTCAAAACAGTGTCTATATTTTCATCTGATATGTCTATTAATGTATTATCTACAAATATCTGAATTTTACAATATTCTAAAATATTACAAATGTCATTAATTTATAAAATAAATAGCAGACCTTGTTTAGTACCGTTTAATATTCTTGCTCCAATAATATCAAAACATTCAGTAAGCACACTTTTGGACAAAATCTCACTCTTATTTTGATTTGATTTAATTTTTGATATAATCTTCTTGAGACGATTAATGCTTATTGTTCTAAACTCACTCATTATAATGTGATCTAATGGGACATTGGCTTAGATCCCTGTCAATAATTAATCTTACAAGTTCGTTGACACTTTCTGTCAAATATGTATAGGTACATTCGATCTGCTATTATTTGTTTTTACCCCATCGGCGAACTTCATTCTAGATAATGTATTTCTTGTAATAGGAGAAACAATGTTTTTCAACGTGTTCCACATCTGTTTGCTATTATTTTTACTATCATCAATTTTGGCTATCTTAAGGTAGAATACGTTAATGAATGATATCTTTTATTTCATTGATGACCCCTATCTTGGAAAAACAGTTTTTGCAGGCTTCTTAATTCAATAGATTTATTGCATCTAAAAATGGTGTTCAAAAATATATATATAATAAATTTTTCGTCAACTTTGAATCATACCTATGGTAAACAATCCGTGTCGGTCGAATTTTGTTGTGTGGATTATCCGATTATTCTATAAGTCAAAAATAGAATTAATTTATATATGATTTTTTGTAGTGTTGCTGTGAAGTTCCATGAAGAAGCAGGCATTTTCAAACTCCTAATCGTCGACTCCATAATGGCCTTGTTCAGAGTCGACTACTGCGGCCGCGGCGAATTGGCTGATCGTCAGCAAAAACTGGGTCAAATGATGTCCAAATTACAGAAGATCAGCGAAGAGTTCAACGTTGCCGTGTTCGTCACTAATCAGATAACCAGCAGTTTCAGCGGGATTTTGTCCGAGGACCAGCTGTCTAAGCCTGTTGGAGGGAATGTTTTGGCTCATGCCTCAACCACCAGGTGAGAGACTTTCATGAGAAACTGCTTTTTTATATTTGCATCACAGTGTCCCAGAACACGTGAGATTCATATATGGAATATTTGGAAAGCTGAAAATGTCATTCGAGTATACCTTTTTGGTTTAGGCCTATAGCTTGTAAAGTAGTATAATTCCGATGTTCTCGATAAGACACGTGTTTTGGGCCACTCATGACCTCATTACTATCGAACCAAGGTAAACCCAGTTACAAAATGGTAACAATTGAAAACACCATCTCTAGCCCCAAATGTGAACGCCGCGCAATGGTAATTGTTTTGACGGGGTGTAAATGGAATTTGAATAAACTTTAGTCATCTGTCCAATCAGACTGTTTCTACCAGTTTTCATACTTTAAAAGTACTCATATTAGTACTCAATTGGACAAATTCGTATTTTTGTTTCGATGTGTGTTAGTTATGAAATTAAACAAAGTACAGTGCACCCTCTTTAATCGGAACACCTTGTTGCAAGCGGTCGATCCGATTAGCGGCAGGAATAAAAATAGCACAAATTTTCTAAATATTACTTTATTTTACACATAATGCGAAATCATAAGGTGAAAAAATAAACTATTTTATTAATAACACTTTTTTCAACGAACTGTACCTACATATTTCCTCGAATATACATATTAAGTAATTATCAATCTCTTAATAGGACGTACATATTATTCCCCATTTGTGTTAGCAAAAAAATGGATTTTTTTTTGTTTTTCACTTTTAATTTTCAAATCCAGTGTCTGCCTGCGCAGTTTTTGAAGTAAAATTATTCGATTATCTGTCACATATTAATTTGAGATCCTCATTCTCTACTAGCACACTTTTGGACAAAATCTCAATCTTATTTTGATTTGATTTAATTTTTGATATAATCTTCTTGAGACGATTAATGTTTATTGTTCTAAACTCACTCATTATAATGTGATCTAATGGGACATTGGCTTAGATCCCTGTCAATAATTAATCTTACAAGTTCGTTGACACTTTCTGTCAAATATTTCTTCATTTGTTTTTACCCCATCGTCGAACTTCATTCTAGATAATGTATTTCTTGTAATAGGAGACACAATGTTTTTCAACGTGTTCCACATCTGTTTGCTATTATTTTTACTCTCATCAATTTTGGCATAGTAATATTTTTTCTTTTCATCTCGTTGAAGTGCTGCAGATCGATTTCTTGATCTTATGTACTCTAGCCAATCATTTTCACTCCCAGTAAACATAAACTTCTTATAATTATAGTCTCTTTTTAATTTAGAATCCTTGATCGCCTGCGAGAATCAAGGTGTTGGATTTTTCCTTTTATAAATTTTTGTCTTTACTATAGCTTCTTTCATGCAAACTTCAACATTATCCTTGTATAGTAACTATCAACATCAACAAACATTTCAGTCATATCTGTCTCTCAAACTAGATAAAAATTATACGATTTGTGTAAGATATGTGCTCCTATTTCTCATATTAAATCAAGAATCACTTCATATATCACACGATTCAGCTACAAAAACCTATTTTTGTTGACAGTGGCCAGCACGTTAAACGATAAAAATATCAAACTGACAAATTCGTTCATTAAAATTTTTGTTATTTAGTTCTCGTGTTCTTATTTGAATTAAAAAATCATTAATTCATTACCACCACATATAGAAAACTACCAAATTAATAGTAGCATAACTAGTAAATCTATATTTCAAAAGGGAGTATTTGAATTTAATAAATTGAATAATGAAACAAAAAGTGTTCGAATTTAAAAACGTTTAAGGTGAAATTGAAAAATCAAAATGCATAGTGATGTAATTTTAATAGACAAGAATGTAAAATTACAGAAAGTGGATTGAAGAAAAATATGTAACCGAATAATTTCACAAAATTAACATTCCAGCATTAATGCTAAATAAATCTTCCTCAAACAAATCACCAATTGTAACTGGGCACAAAAAATTTTGGGTAATGGTATCACAATAGTCCATGAATATGCCACTGATTTTCGTGTCTGTATGTTTTCGTAACTGTACAATCCATGCTATATACGAACATATTTCTCCGAAAATTCCTGACAATGCAACTTTTACACTGGGTGTAAAATTGATTTCAATACGCCAGTGCTAGTACGTTCCTGGCTGATTTTACGGTCGAACGTACAGAGGCGTAGGTATCAACGAATTCGAAGCGCTTATAAAAAGCCTATATGTTCACATTGCATCTTTTGTCGCGTAGTCTTAATGCATATTTTTGACTATTTGCCTACCAAAGTGATAGCGCTGTATCAACATAATAGTAATTCTCATCGGTAGAAACATCTACCTTCTAGTGGCGTTGGCTTGTGGCGCTCTTTGCAAATTGTGTGAGAAGCGCCATGCCTTGAACAGTGACTTATGTGCACTTTGATCCTCACTACAGACTATGAGAATTACGAGACAAATAGATCCTTGACTGACTCCTTCTATCTAGCTTGAATTCGTTGATCTGTACAAGAAATTACGTTTACCGAAAAGAACAGTGTTCTTCAAAATCACAAAAATAAATCTCCAGTGTCGCATGCAAGATATCCTCGCATGCGACACCGGTCCCGGAACGAGAACAGCAAATTGCTGAAGCATTCGACATTTCCGTGGAAGATTCGAGAACACACCCTCGTCCGATATTTTTGACACCAAAAACCACAAACTTTTTTAAACCCCCTTTCAAAAACCTTCAAGCTCGAACCCGATTGTTCGCCACATGATCAAAATATTTTTCACAGATTGGCGCTGAGAAAAGCGGGCGTTGGGAACAAACGAATAGCTAAAATCTACGACAGCCCAGACCTGGAAGAAAGCGAAGCGACTTTTGTTATCACAACCGGAGGCGTCGATGACCCAAAAGATTAGAGTTGTTTTGGTTTTAACATAGTCTTTAAGTTCGTTGATTCTTGATTTTTAATTAATATGCATATATGTGTAATGTGTATAGATTGTAAAATAATTATTCATGCATTAAAGTGACTTTATGCAATTTTGCGGTTTTATTTATCGCTGAATTTGAGTTGGCCTATGAAATTGTTTTTGCAATCTATATTTACCAGAACTTCGCTTGCTGATATGAAATATGAAAATCTTTGTATGGATCAACAGCCGGACCTTAGTAAAAGTATAAGTGATGGGTGGCAAAAGCGTGAGAATGTACAGGATATTATTCCACTTCAACGTTTTGAGGAAACGTACATTTTGCGTTTACAAGCACCCTGTATGAATAAATTATGGGATTTGAAGCTCATTTTAACAAAAAGCTTGCTACTCTATCTACGAATAGTGACTGACCTATAAGTTGTCAAAGTTGAGTGCTTTGTCGAACAGAATATCACGTAGCTCCTAGTAGGAATCCAAACCCTACATGTTATGCTATATCATAGTACATCTCTTGAAGACGCTTTCAGAGTATGCCAAAATATGCAGGATATTCCATTGAAAGATGCATGTTTGAGTGTTTGCGTAGATGATTGATGAATTACTCTGTAAAGAGAGCGACATATTTTCTAAGTAAAGAGCGTATAGTTTTTAAAAATAGCCTTATTTATATAGCCTTTGGAGCTATGGTCTAGTTACACATGGACAGCTCACACTGCATATGTTTTAATACAACACTACTAGAAAAAGGTCTGGTCCAAAGTCCTATCCTATCATGGTTGGACTAATTTTCAGACTATATCACTTTTTACAACACTTTTAGTGTTTTAATCATTGATAACGTATTCTCTATGATGGAATATGTTTATAAAAGGTGTTACTGAAGACGAAAGTGTAGAAAAATTATGCACCGAACCTGTACAGTCTTATCATCATTATATATGACACATGGAAATAGCCATTATATTATTATTTCAAGTTCCGTTTGTTCTACATTTGTGTATGTATCAGTAATCATTCGTACAATAGTGGCAACATTTAGTAGGAAAGTTAAAACTAAACAAATGGATATAGATATGGTTTATCTTTGGTATAAATCTTTTTATTTATTTCATATTAAGCAGCTATGTTAATTACTTGGTATCTGTAAAACGCTCATAAATGTTGTAGCTCAATTATATATATATATATATATATATAACTTGAGACGTGGTCATTGTCGTCTAGACCAGTTAGGTGAAAAATTAAAGCTTCCGCTTTTTGTTGGGTACTTCGACAAGATTTAAGCAAAGAGGACTCTTTATACTTTTTTAATTCTCTCTAGCTTTCAATGGACTTTGCCATCATCATCAGGAGCTGCAATTACAATGATAACAGTAGCAACAAAGGTGTAAAATGAATTTAAATTGACTCAACTTACAGTAGTATGTGAGAATGTTGCTAATTGTTGTTTACGCATATGATGAGGGAAACGTCCAGTAACATGGTGAGAGCTGAATAGGTTGCACAATAGTCAAAATTTATACAAAACATGACAAGAACACGTTAAAACAGATTAAAAATTATTTTAAAAATTAGAACATTACATCGTGAAACCACCTGATGATTGCACAAATTAGTGGTCATGGAATGATGAATTGATGAGTGACATGAAACCCTTTGACAGAAGGCCGAAGGATGTCAATGTCAGTATTGAAAGATGGAACGAATTGTGGGCGTGTGCCAAAAACGTTGCCAAATCACTTCAGATGAAGAGATTTACAGAATTTTATGATGGAATTTGTTAAACCGACCAGAGGCAGTTGAATAAACTATATTATTATTAATGGGAATTTAAATTAACAATTATTAATAAATCGTGAGGAGAGAATTATTGTATTTTGAGTGGAATGAAATTTACTGGTGGAAACGGACAAAACACAGATTCTAATTATGGTTGTGAAGAGTTGAAATTTGGGGAGATATGTAAGTTCTCCAATTTTTCGCAGTTTAGCAGATATGAGTAAATGACACTCAGTTGTTTAACATCTGTCTTTTTGTTGATACAGTTGTCCCACATTTTCATGAATAACAACTGTATCAACAAAAAGACAGATGTTAAACAACTGAGTGTCATTTACTCATATCTGCTAAACTGCGAAAAATTGGAGAACTTACATATCTCCCCAAATTTCAACTCTTCACAACCATAATTAGAATCTGTGTTTTGTCCGTTTCCACCAGTAAATTTCATTCCACTCAAAATACAATAATTCTCTCCTCACGATTTATTAATAATTGTTAATTTAAATTCCCATTAATAATAATATAGTTTATTCAACTGCCTCTGGTCGGTTTAACAAATTCCATCATAAAATTCTGTAAATCTCTTCATCTGAAGTGATTTGGCAACGTTTTTGGCACACGCCCACAATTCGTTCCATCTTTCAATACTGACATTGACATCCTTCGGCCTTCTGTCAAAGGGTTTCATGTCACTCATCAATTCATCATTCCATGACCACTAATTTGTGCAATCATCAGGTGGTTTCACGATGTAATGTTCTAATTTTTAAAATAATTTTTAATCTGTTTTAACGTGTTCTTGTCATGTTTTGTATAAATTTTGACTATTGTGCAACCTATTCAGCTCTCACCATGTTACTGGACGTTTCCCTCATCATATGCGTAAACAACAATTAGCAACATTCTCACATACTACTGTAAGTTGAGTCAATTTAAATTCATTTTACACCTTTGTTGCTACTGTTATCATTGTAATTGCAGCTCCTGATGATGATGGCAAAGTCCATTGAAAGCTAGAGAGAATTAAAAAAGTATAAAGAGTCCTCTTTGCTTAAATCTTGTCGAAGTACCCAACAAAAAGCGGAAGCTTTAATTTTTCACCTATATATATATATATATATATATATAACTTGAGACGTGGTCATTGTCGTCTAGACCAGTTAGGTGAAAAATTAAAGCTTCCGCCTTTTGTTGGGTACTTCGACAAAATTTAAGCAAAGAGGACTCTATACTTTTTTAATTCTCTCTAGCTTTCAATGGGCTTTGCCATCATCATCAGGAGATGCAATTACAATGATAACAGTAGCAACAAAAGTGTAAAATGAATTTAAATTGACTCAACTTACAGTAGTATGTGAGGATGTTGCTAATTGTTGTTTACGTATAGGATGAGGGAAACGTCCAGTAACATGGTGAGACCTGGATAGATGGTACAATGGTCAAAATTATATGAAATATGACAAGAACAAGTTAAAAACAGATTAAAAATTATTTAAAAAACATTAGAGCATTACATCGTGAAGCCACTTGATGATTGCACAAAATGGTGGTCATGGAATAATTGACATTGACAACCTTCGGCCTTCTGTCAAAGGGTTCATCTCACTCATTATTCCATGACCACCATTTTGTGCAATCATCAAGTGGCTTCACGATGTAATGCTCTAATGTTTTTTAAATAATTTTTAATCTGTTTTTAACTTGTTCTTGTCATATTTTATATAATTTTGACCATTGTACCATCTATCCAGCTCTCACCATGTTACTGGACGTTTCCCTCATCCTATACGTAAACAACAATTAGCAACATCCTCACATACTACTGTAAGTTGAGTCAATTAAAATTCATTTTACACTTTTGTTGCTACTGTTATCATTGTAATTGCAGCTCCTGATGATGATGGCAAAGCCCATTGAAAGCTAGAGAGAATTAAAAAAGTATAAAGAGTCCTCTTTGCTTAAATTTTGTCGAAGTACCCAACAAAAGGCGGAAGCTTTAATTTTTCACCTATATATATATATATATATATATATATATAATAATATATTAAGATTTTTTTTGCTTTACCTATTTCAGTATTCACATAAAGATCTTACATTCATGCCAGATGATTATTACGTAAGCCCACAAAATAAAAAAAGTGGTGTGTGCTATGTTTTTGCTATGTACTTCTTTTCGCTGAACACGCATCTGAGGTCAAAATTGTCGGTAGGTGGTAAAATTTGAGAGTAAACGATACACAGGTCCACAAAAAATAAAAAGTGGTGTGATGTGCTGGGGTCTGACTCTATACTCTTTCCATGTATCTTCTCCCTCTAAGGATATGAATCTGAAGTCAGAATTATAATGTCATCAAAATGAAAAATGTCGATATTTTTGAGAGATCTCTGAACAGATGCACATCCACAAAAATGCCAAATATGTTATCTTAATGCATCAAGAAATACTTTCTTATTTGTCCACCGACCCCCAATTTTGACTTCAGATTCGTGTTCAGCATGAAAAAGTGCATGAGAAAAACATAGTAGGACTCCAAGTACACACCATTTTCTTTATCTTTCAGGTCTGTATTATTAGAATATTGAAATCCTGTATACCAGATAATGGTCTAATACCTACAAGTATTTGAAAAAAATGAGTGTAGATAACTCAAGTAATGAATACTGCTGAATTGGATATGTAGTTCTTGTATTCGATAAACGATCAACCAGATAAAGAGTGGATCAAAACGTGTTGGTGAACGGCAAATAAATAATTAATTGTGGAAGTCTGGGCTTCAGATAAATAAATATGCTAGGTACCTTAGACACTTTGGTGCTGTTACGATCTGACGAAGAAATGTAACTTTGTCATATTTTATCTCTCGGTAAGGCTAAATGCGTGCTTTGAAAAAAAACTACCTACGCATAAATAATGTATTGTCATTAGCGTCCTTAATAAATCATATTTCAATCTTAAATAAATACATCTTATACACGTAAAAAATGTTTTATTCACTAATCATGAATATACATATAGACATAAGTATACAATACTATCTACTATAGTATAAGTATATAATACCATGTTATCAAAAACATGCACATTCTAAACTTTCTCATTTTTGCACGTTTGCGAGTTTTCGTTCCGGCGTAGTATAATAAATATTTAAAACTCAGTGTGGCTTATTGCTTCATGAAGTATCTGTTTATAGTATTTCATCTTTTTACCCTGGTATTAACATTTAAAAAACCCTGAATAATATAGCACCTCCTAAGCCACTGTTTGTGTATTGTAGAGGTGCATAAGGGCCCGCTTAAGCGGCCTATGC